GATATACTGGACTTACTTTAGAAAAAACTAGATGTAAAAATAATGATCTGTAAGGAAGATATACCCCTTTGGTGCTGAGTGACCAACTCCTTTGTATTTCTAAACTTTTTTGAAGGCATAACACTAGTTCAGCCTTCAGAGTTACAGGTCGTCATTAAGGCTCATCCTTTGTGTGTAACCCTGTACAGGGGTATTGTTTAATTGTTTTAATTTTCACTTCAACTTATTTTATTGTCTAATAATATGGTAACGTGTTACTTTTCTAATACAGTGAGGAATATGACTTAACCCTATTTATCCTGACGTCCGGTAAAATGACTGGTCCCCTGAGGGGGAGGGGTCAAATTGATTCCCCCCCCCCCTCTTTTATATTATTTTGATACAAATCTATAACATTTGATACCTTTTTGGAAAGCCCTTGGGCTCTACTTCAATAATCTGACAAAAAATGGCAAATTTACAAAATCCCAAATATCTATTGCAAAATCTAGTTATTAAGCAAAAAATGTGCAAAAAATAATTGCGCAAATTGCAACAAATTATACATTTTTGAAAAGCCCTTTCCCAGCACATTTAAATGTGCTAAAACATTTGTAAAATTTTTAAAACCTAAATATGTATTCCAGAAAAACTGAAAATGTGCAAATTTCCTTTACAGGCGTCTTTGAAAAGTTTGTGTAAATTTTTTTTTCAAAGATTGTGCAATCTAGTTGCTTTTGTTATAGGCTTTCCAAAGAGCTACAAAATGTTGAAATCCAATAACTGGAAGTAGGTCTAAATATAGATTTAGTCTGGTATAGGTAAAATTAGGCATTTAGGCAGTATACCTGAGGACTCAGGCAGTTATAGGTATAAAAGCCCAGCTTTAAGCCTTAAGTGATGGGCATGTGCTAATTAGAAAAGTCAGACAATTTGAGCTTCCTAGCTCAAATACTTTTTGACCCCCCCCCCCCATATATAAGGTTAAACAGTAATGAACATAAATCACATTAATTAAGCAGTGTTAACAGATCCCCAGTTAATTTGATATATATTTTTAAAAGTTATTGATAAAACAAATTACTTTTTAATATCAAATACATTTATTATGACTTTAATGTCGTCTTCCTATCCCACAATTTTCTAGTTCTCACTGTAATACATTATTAATTTGTAGGTAATTTCCTAGTATACGATTTTTGGACCCCCCCGCCGTACATGGTACAGACCCAATTTGTATCTATATTTATTCTTATACTCTGAATAGATGACACTGAACTATAATATCAAGGTGATACATATAATTATACGGAAATGCAAAAATATGCTTATTTTACAGGGTGATTCAACATCTATTAATAACTCACATAAAATCTAGAATTATGCGTATTTAATGTTATTCAAAGCAAATAGTTATTAGTCAGGAAATTAAATCAGTAATTTTATCACAAAAAATTTTAAGAATATTATCATTAATCTAAATGATCAATATTAAATATTGTAAAGATGTATTTTAATCTTAGACATTCAAAGCTTGGCGGATTTTTTTGTCCTTTCTACCAACATTTTTTGTCCTTTCTACCAACATTTTTTGTCCTTTCTACCAACATTTTTTGTCGTTTTGTTAATTATATTTTAATATTTATTTGACCTAAACATGAATTCTGCCAAAAAAGTTAATGTTTTGTAAAACAATGCTAATTCCTTTTTTTCACTCACACTGTGGAACAATATAATCTTTAAGCTGAAGCCTAATTTTTTCACCCTCTGCATCAATGGGAATGTAAAAACAAATTGAATATTTACTTCCGGTCTGTTTGAATTTATTTTTATAAATCTAGGAATTCATTTAGTTTTTACGTATTACACATGCATTATTTAAGTTGTATAGAGAATATTCTAACTTTTTGCGTAAAATAGCAATTGATGAAGTTGTTAAATTTTATTTTAATAAAACTAACATTTATTTCAATATTTTTGCCAAATAACAACAGTTGCTCTAATTCATCTGATAAATCCACAAATCTGTGTTCTGAAATAGAACAAATTTAAGAAAGCTAATATTTAGAAGTTTTGAAGTCTTAAAGTACCTTTAGCCTGATTAAGAGAAAGAAAGGGTGTATATTCCATTCTCATAAAGAATTCCAAATATGATAAACAGCACATCAATAGTCAATCCTAGTATTGGTAGAAACCACATCATGGTAAAATCAAGAAATAATATCATCTTTGTATCATTCATTTCTTTGGGTTGTTCTCTCCATGCCTGCTTGCTCAATTCTGTGATCTCGATATTCTTAATCCTTGCAACTAATGTTTGAAGTAGAGTGATAAGGGTTGATATCAAAATACTCTTTATTTGTAGCAGATCAATAGTTTTGATGCTAGGTGTTTTTGGCAGGCTCTGAAATACTGCTATAAAAATTCCAGACATGGCCAAGAGACAGGTTACATTCACAGTTATGGCTGCTTCAAATTTTTCCTTATAGTAGCTGTTTGACATGTAGACAATTATGGAAAGCAGTATGCTTGGCAAGGCATTCTGCAAGAAGACACTTAGAAACTTACGCTTTAAGAATACCTTAACCAAAAAAATTCCTGCTTCCTCTGTTATTTCTACGGTTTGTCTCTCTATCATATACATACCAGTCTCAAAGGGTTTATATTTTAATTGAAATGCAATGTTCATCTTCAGATTGTCCAAAGGTAAATACCAACCCATTGATGTTCCATGGATCATAATTTGAAAAGAGCAAACATTGTCATCAAAGGGAAAATCTTCAAGAAAGTCAAAATCACAAATTACATCAGATCGAAACCACTGTCTTTTGAAGATGTCTACTTCAGATCCTTTGAATAATATTCTTTTTTCAACATCTGTAATATCTGACTCCAATCCTGGGATGTCTGGCTTGACAAACAATTCCTGAAAACTGTAGTCTTCAATCATGTTGACCTCTGTAGTTTTATACATGGTATAAGTTGGAGTCCAAAGTTTACTGGCATCATCTCCAATTAGTGTAGTGTTCATATTTTTATTTAAATTCACAAACTCAACTCTTGAGTCCCTCCATTTAGAGAAAAGGCCAAATTGGATTGTCATTAATGAGCGAGTGTCAATAATATCAAGAATGACCAAGCTAAAGTAATACAAATCTATCACAAGTGGGCCCTCAGTGTCTTTTGATGACAGGGGAGGAACAAACTTTTTATATGATGGTTGAATTATTGCTGTGCTGCAGTTAGTTTCATCACTTTGATCAAAGCATTCATATCTTCCATTGCAACGTTCTTTAATATCAATACAGTTACCATCATCACAGTTAAATTGGTTCCCAGTACAGCCATCAAAGCTTAGCATTAGCTGTATACCTGACTCTGTCACCTGCCATGTACTCTTCCCAAAAGGGTATTTCTTGGTATCCAAAAAAATGATTTGTTTATCAGATGAGTCTACAACAATCCATTTAGATTTCTGATACCTTAACTCATTCTCTTGTATACCTTTAAACACATACTTTCCATTGTAAATCTCTCTAGTCCAGAAGTACTGTCTATCTACTACAATGTTCAAAAGATCTCCTCGTAACTCAAATGCAGGAATTTCTGGGAGCTTACAAAAACCACAAAGGCTTCCAGCATCCTCATCACATGCAACATCATGAAATTTTAAAGATGATGTAGAAACCATGGCACAATTCTCTATTCGCCCCCCATTAGGTTCCCCTGTCTTGAAACCTAGTTTATCTAATACCTCTCCATCTTCACCAACAAATACTCCATCTTTTATTTCATCTGTATAACCTGCAGCAAGCATTTTCATGGGATCACAAGTTGTATTGCTGTAGCTTTTAATCATATCAATCAGATCATTGATTTTGCTCTCAAATGGTATACTGTAAATACTTCCTCCAAGTTTATTACAAAATTGTTTCATGCTCATGTATGTCATTTTTTCTGGTACTATAATGATTCCAGGTGTTGAAAGGGAACAGAGTACTTCATCAGAAATTGTAGTTTCTTGCATATTTATCAAGTCTAAGGAAGATCTACTCCAATCAAATACATTTCCATTATTCCAGTTTTTGCAGCAGGTCCAGTCAATTGCATCTTGCAAATCTAATGCCTTGTTCCACATATTAAACTTGGCAATTCTTCCTCTGTAGTTTTTTAATTTGGACTGATCTGTTCCAAGTATAATATCATTTACAGAATTTTCATTGTCAGCATTGAGGATAGCTAATGAAGAATTATATTGGAATATGTCTCCATTAACTATCATATTAATCCTTTTTTTGTTATCATCATATAGGCAACATATGCCATTCCATTGAAGTATGTGTATCCTAAAACAAATATTTTTTACATTGGTTACATGGTCAATAATATTCAATGTTAATATGCAACATATTACCGAGCTTCCAGAAGATAGGAGACACCATTTGCAACAAAAAAGGTATGAGTAATCTCAAGTAAAAAAATTCTGAAGAGGGAACCAGGGACAGACCTTGAGATGTCGACAATAGTTGAGTATCTTTTCAGACTATTAGGTCTGAAAATCATAGTAAAGTCATTTTGTCATTAATCTTAAACAAATCATCTGATGGGATGTGTATGCATTACCTAAATCTGAAACAAACTGACCAGCTTGTTAAAGAGCCTAAAACTGAAACAGATGTTGTAGCATAGCCAAGTTCTTTCCCCACACTAGAGATAATCTTTTCCCCAGTTGCCCGACTAAAGAACAGTAATATTGTGATGCTAAAAACAAATACATACAATGATGCAATAGGTAACTTTGCCCTAGTAAAAAAATGTATAACTTACCAGATCAAAAAGGATATTAAAGTTATTGTTGTCACATGTAAGATTCTCATTTTTGACTCTTGTATTCTGAAAAGTACATTAATGCAGACCTTGATTAATACTCTCTAAGTTTAATTCCAATAGAATCTTGAACTTTTGTTGAACTAATGTTGTGCATAATGATGCTTAAGTATTAAATCAGTTGATATTCATGAATAATGCCAAAAGCAATAAATACTAAATCTAGCAGAACAGAAGTTATAGGAATTATCCAAGATGAGACATAATAAACTATTTTTGCAGCCTTGTTAATTCTACATTTTTCTGCTTTAGAATTAATGATCTCAGTTGGGCTGACTTTAGTGCCTCTGTTCCAGATCATCTTGTGAATTGTTTGCATCAGGCAAACAAAAACAGACAATGACAAGCATTTAAGTACATGAAACTCTAAAATCTTGATAGATGCACTTGGTGGAAGAGAGTTTGTAATGTTTGAATAAACGCCTGATATAGCTAGGATGCATACAACATTAACTGTAACAGCTATATCAAACATTTCGAGACAGAAAGTATTTGTGACATACACAATGACAGAGAACAGGGTGACTGGCAGACCACTTTGAATAAATACTCCAATAAACTTTCGCCTAAAATTGATATCAACCGCCAAATATCCAAGATCAGTGATATATGTTTTCCTACTAACAACAACATTTTGACCAATGTTCTGAGGCACTGTTGGCTTAATTTCGTCAAGATCTATAACAGTAGCATTTGAAAATGGGGTCCAACAACTTATTCCATCCACGTAAATAAAAAAAGTGCATGTGTCTTCATCAAATGGGTAGAGATGGAGGTTTTTAAATTTGCATTGTATTTCTGCAACATAAAACTGTCTAGTAATTATAAAAACTTCATCCCAATTGAAGTATATTCTTTTGTAGAGGTCAGAGTAAGGCGATCGGGTTCCATTTCCCATTGGCATAACTTCAAGAGTTTTAAATGAGATGTCTTCTCTTGCCTTTGTTGTCAGGTAAAATGTATAATCAGGACTCCAGATACTGTCCCTAAAATCTTCTTCCACTTCATTTATCTTTCCAGGCAAAATATTAACGTATTCAATCCTGCTGTCTCTCCATTTGGAAGTAATCCCCATCTGGAGGTTTATCATTGACTGCTTTTCCTTAAACAAGCAGCATTAAAAATATTTCAATGCCAACTGGAAATTTTTTTCAAAATTGAAAGATCTTTGTGCACAATTGTTTTGTACCAAATAAATTTTTCTCAAGACTGTGCCAATCAAGGTAAATAAACTCACATGCACCAATTACAAATTTTTCTGATATTGCCAAAAAGTTATTAAAGTGGGAACCCTGATTACACCTCTAACCTGTATTTCGACAAGTATTATTTCCATGAATGTTATATGAACAAGTCCTTGACCATGGATAGGTGGAGGAAGATGTTTATTGTATCCGGATAGGATAAAGGGACTGCAGTCAATTTCATCTGATGAGTCAGAGCAGTCATACCTTCCATTGCAAACATTTGACAATGGTACACAATCTCCATTTCCACAGTTGAAATCTGAATGAGATTTGATATTCATCAAAAGCTATCATGGTTAGTTAATTTATGCTTTATTACCTTCTGTTTTACAGATTGTTAATCCAAGAAAAACAGAAGAATTAGATTTGATATCTAACCATTCATGGTTCCCAAAAGGATATGAGTTGCCCTCATGTTTAAGATATATTTTACCATTTTCAACATCTCTTATTTGCCATACAAAACCATTAAAGAAAATTTCTGAGCGGTGATTACCAAAGAAGGAAAATTTTCCATTCTGTAGCTTTTCATTCCAGAAATACTGCCTATCTACAGGGATAGCTCCTATTTCTCCTCTTAGCTTAATAGGCTTTTGGTTCTTAATTGCACAGAAGCCATAATTTTCTTCAGAGCATGATGTATCTTTAAACATCAAGGTGGATGTGTAAGTGGCAGAAATCAAACAGTTCTCAGTATGCTTTCCATTAGGTTCTCCTGGAGCCCAACTTTCAGATGTGAGTGGAATCCTATCTACACTCATGAAAACGCCTTCTTCATCTTCATCTGAATATCCAGACCAAAACCTCGAAGCGTTGAATCTGGAACTATTGAATAAGCTGGATAAGTATGGAAAGTTTAATTGGTTGACAACCGCAGCTTTTCCTCCAATATTGCTGCAAAATCTATGAAGCTCCTCAGATTTGATTTTATCCGAAAGCAGAATATATTCAATGCTCTTCTTCTCAAAAAATTCACTTCTGTCAAAATTTGTTATGATCAGTTCTGTATTTTTAGACATGATCAAATCCCAATTGATGATATCCCCCCTTTCATGTATCCTATTTGACATCCAGTCTTGTATAAATTCAAAGGACTTGCTTCCATTCCACAGATTCAAATCAGAAATGTCTCCAACAAAAGCTGCATCTTTTCTTAACTTGTCATTTCCTTTATATTTATGCTATTAAAACATTTATTAAAAGAGTGTTCGCAAAACATGGTAAGGGATGAGGTTAAATCCTAAAAAAAGTCACAAGAGAAACTTGAAAACACATAAGGCCTAATAAAATAGAACCAATATAAATTCAGTTAGTTGTGTTATCCCACTAAGACTATAAATTATTAAATTTGAATTTAAAACTGATTATTCAGATATTATAATTCATAAATTTTTTTTTTTTTGCATCGTGAGAATGGTGAATATATCATGGGATCTTTTTTTTTAAATTCAGCCTAACCCTCCTTTCATTTTTCGCAAATACTTCTTTTTAAGATTTCATGATTGTGTTTTTTTTCATTTATTACCTATTGTGACATCTTTCAGTAAAGTTAGCGTTAGTGGAGTTGATATATTAAAGAAGAAAAAACTCTCTTTTCCATTTGATGTAATACGGACTGAAGTCTCATTTTTCACAATGCAAATATGGTTCCATTCAAAGAGTTTCCAACTGAAGAAGAAAACATCATTGATTCAACAAACAAAAGTCAAGAATTGTACTTAAATGTTTGACACGGATATTATGTGGAAAGAGAAGAAAAAAAGTAATTTTAAGAAAGCAATTAAAGATATTGCAAAACATTTAACACAAATAAAATTTAAAATTTACTAATGATTTATAATTTTTCTGTTTTTTTTAAATTTTGGTCAAAGGTGTACCCTAGAATAACTATTTTTTCCTAGCTAATATTGTGAATATGCAGACCCATAATAATGTGGACTACAAAACCAGATATATTTGATTTTGTTGTAAATCAAATCGCTTTACCAAAAATCAACTTATTACGTGAAATGTATTTATACACTGCACAATTGATGTGTTTCATGCAGGGGTCCATATCATTCCATTTCTGATCCCAAATAGAATTGGGCCCGGTGTTGAAAATACATTTAGGGGCATGAAAGTACACTTCATATGTCATTGTGAACCTTGACAAGTTTTTCTGTACGTGTACTACACTTCAGACATGTGCACTGCATTTGGGGTGTTAAAAGATGTAAATATCAGTATTTAATATAGAGATAAATTTTGATATACAGAAAATAAACACTATATATATTAGAGTGGAATTTAAAGAATCTCTCAGTATGAATTTTTTCAGTCCATTTCAGCCTGAGAGGGAGTTCAAAGTGTACAAATCATGTAAATGTTCACAGATTATATGCAGTAGAGTAAATTGATACAGTATGTTCCCCTAGACTATCTATTTCAATTTCGAATCTTAAAGCCGTTAAATAAACTTTATAAAATTAATTAGGTGAATAAAATACATCATTTGATTTATAGTTATAACGGAAAATCATCGTTTGTAAAGTGAAAGTCTAGTCTAAAATAGTCTATGTGAAATGATCATTGGTCAATTATGAAACCTTCCTATTTCATAATTTGCTTTTCTTTTAATAATAATTTTAGATTTTCTATAAAATGATATTCCAGGGCCCAAAAGGTTATATAGCATAAAGATGTGAAGTACACCTGCAGAATATAACCGTACAACAAAATGGCTGTTTTACACTTTTTTCTAGTAAATTCCACTCTAATATATATTCTATTCTCTTTGGGTTTATTTCTGCCCCTAATATCAATCAATCAACATTTGGGATTGATCAGATGGAATTATATGGACCACTGGTTTAATGTTCATTGGACGAAGCAAAATCATTACTTCCTCTTTTATAGTTTAATGGTTTCCACTGTATTATAAATATTTTTTGTCCTCACCTGTCCTGAAGTAGGAGTGTCCTGTCCTCTATATGAATAAATGTATAATCCACATTCAGGACGGGTATCTTGAGGAAGGATTCCCATTTCTCCAGTAGTTCCCTGATTCTAGGAATATCAAGTATTGTACTCCCAGGCTTGAGTCGGATTGGTCTAGGTATGTTTGACTTGGTTTAAAGTGACCCTCCATGCAAAAACGGCAATGCTCGATGCACAATGGTACCATAAAAAGTATGAAATTTATATTAATGTTTATATTTTTTAAAACTGATTATTTTCAGTTGCGGATTCTTGTGTGACTGCGCATTTCGACTGTACATTTTACGCAGCAAGAAATAAATTCTGTTATTCAACTTTTTTATAGCAGCATAGGATATATGTACAAATGATCAACCTACGAAAGAGACTAGCTGATTAATTTTTTATTTTAACCAGTCCCTAAATCTGATGCATGCTGTCCAGGTTTTGGTTGGAACAAAATCTCTAAATTAAACAAATGTTAAAAAATATGTTATATATTATAATATTATAGCTTTTTTATATTTGAAAATTTTATCATTTTGTATGTATTTTGTATGTTTAAGTGACTAGTGGATTTATGCAACAGAGATGTGGAAGAAAATTGACAAAATTATATCTTCCTCATTGTTACTCAGATAAAGGTTATCGGTGTGAATGGTACATAATATCATAATATTTCTTAAATGTAAATTAGTTATTCATACTTTTGTGAAGAGTCCTTAACTATTAATAAATATACTAATAATTAATATTATTATATATGCAGGTCAGCTAAGAAAAAAGTCTTAATAAAAACTATAAAAGAGATTCATAAGACCTTAGCAACTTTTTTCTGCATGTGAATTGTTTGTAACAAAAGTTTAATTTCTTGATAATTCCCAATGTTTAGAAAAACCTATAACTCTTTTCTTTCTGTATCTAGTATTTGACTTGTCTGTTTGTTTGTAACGTCAAAACGACCACTGCACAGGTTGATTGTCGATTTCATTTTAAAAAAACTAATCGATTTGAATTGAAATTTTCTTTAAAAATCAAGTGATGCAAATCTGTGATTGAAGCACTTTTTCTGATATTTGTCTGTATCCAATGAGCGTAATAACGGCTGAACCGATAAATTTAAAATTTTGTAGGTACCTCACATAGCACCACAAGAAAGGGTTAGGGTTTGGGAATTACAAAAAGTTCTCTCAAAAATATTTTGATATTCCTAAAATTTTGAAAATTCACGAAAAAAATGTAAATCCGCCAAAAATGTTTGTATTGTTTTATCGAAGAGAAAATGCTGAAAGATTGAACAACAAATAAAAATTAAAATAGAAGATGGGTGCGAAGCGCCCTGATTTTGATTAAGATTTCGTTTAAGTCTGATTTCCTAATGTTCTGAAGTGTAGCAAAGGCTGAGCTGGATTGGTTCTTGTTATTAAGAATCTGTACTGCAGATATACAACTGAATAATTGTACACAAACCATTATTATTCATGTTTTGTTGTTCCCGATGATCTGTACTTAAAAAAAAAATTGGGCAAGGATAGAAAACAGAGAAAAGCTAGAAACAATTCGTTTGAAGAACATGAGTTTTTGCTTCAAACTCTAATTCCAAGTATTTCCTCACAACCAGATGCTGTAGACCTTTGATATTTCAAATTTTGAATTCAGTTTAATTAGAATGGGTATATTTGACATATCAAAGTTTTAGGTTGTAAAGATATAGGGATTAGAAAATTTGAGTTTGTGGCAAAGACTCAAATCCTTTGCTTAAAATTTAGCATAGCAAAGAAAACCTAAAATAAAACCTTTCAAGAAAATAAATTTTGAATAACTTTGAATATTTTGAATGATTTTTAGGAATGGAGAAATAGCACAATAAAATAAGGGAAAAAAAGAAAAATTTGTAAAAAAAAAAAAATCAAGTTTTACTGAAATTAGAAGGCAAGGGGTTACTTTAATGAAACTAAAGTGGTTGCATGTTTTTTATGAAAAATATATTTTAATATTTAACAGTTAGGACAATAGCAAAATATTTTGAAAAGTCCCAAATAAACTAAATTTATTGGGAAACCCTGGAATGTAGAATAGGAAAAATGAAAGCTGAAGAAGAAGGAAAATGATTAAAAATCTAGATTCGATAAAATTCTAAATGTTAAAAATGTGAATTTTATCTGAAAATCTGATAAAGACAGCGTCAGACTTTTATTAAATTTCGATATTTACATTGAATTTGTGTTCCTAGCACTCTGCAGAACACAAATATAAACCAGTAGATATTTCATGTCTCTGAAAGAAATAGGGTTAAAATGGATCAGTTACCTATTTCATATTTAAAGAATGTCAAAAAGTATAAAAACTCCTGTCACGTTTAAAAACTTATGACTTACAAGATCAAGCCTTAGTTGATGAGTCATTGTTGTAATCTTTGAAAAAGGACAAATAGATAAAATATTTTTTGATAATTAGATGATTTGGATTTTATCTACTCAATTTAAATCAGAACTTATGTGTTGTGAATCTTGGGATCATGCAGGGAAAACTTGAATTCAGGGATCAAGCATTGGTTTGAAAATCAAAACTGCCCATATTGGATAGCGAGATAAAGCATTGATCTGAAAATCAAAAGTGCCCATATTGGATTGCGAGATCAAGCATTGATCTAAAAATCAAAAAGTACCATATTGGATAGCGAGATCAAGCGTTTAAAGATGAAAGACAGGTTTTAAGTCGTTGTCTGGTGTTAAATGAACAATTGAACTAAAAAAACAAGTTTTTCTATATTTTTTTTTCATTTTTAACGTTTTCAGTATACATGAGGCTGTAAGCATAATTTATTTGTATGCATAATTGAAAGTGTTGGGGTAATATACCAAGTCAGAAATTTTCCAATTTGAAAAAAATAAGCTTAAACAAACATTGAACATGTGCCGAGAGAGGGTTGAAAGAAGAATGAGGGCTTGTCTTAGAACCCAAGGCAGAGAAATAAAATTGCTTAGATTATAAAAAATTTTCCCAATATCGTGTAACACTAGCAAAGGACACATTAATATTTGTTAAGTGCAGTTAAAAAGTAAAAAGAGGAAACATATAGACATAAATGTCTTTAAAGAAAATTAATAAGAAAATGAAATTCAGTGTGTTCAACAGCAATTTATTTTACACATAGTTCATTTTGTTTTATTATATAAAACATGTGTGTAGCAACACATAAGTTTTGTTTGATACAGGGTTACTCACAAAGAATGGGACGTCAATGCCGACCTAGAATTAATTAAATATAAGATGAAATTAAAGTTTCTATGTTAAATATAATTTGTTAATGATTAGTATTGCAAAAAAGAAGTTATTATAAAGAAATTGATTCTTTGACAAAAACTCTGATTTTCTAAACCCTGTATTTTTGCAACTTGATGGTGTAGACCATAAATATTTCTGACTATTATTTCTGTTAGATTAGATTTGAAATATCGTAGATTTGCAACATCAAGTTGCAAAAATTTAGGGATTAGAAATTTTGAACTTGTGGCAAAGACTCAATTCCTTTGTTTTTCGTTCTGATTTCACCCTGCAGAATGAGAAGGAGAAGGAGAAGGAGAAGGAGCACCTCTAAACGAAATTACAATATTTTCTGAACTCATGGCTTCTTCCTTTGGTTTTGATTTTTCGTATAATATTGAAGAAAAGCTAAATTATCCCGTTATAGATACTAATTTCAATGGGTCTCCAATAAGATGGGTTTTGACTGAAAAACTATAAGATTTTAATTTTACGTGAAAATTACTTTAGTTTTACGTGCTGTATATTATTTTTCCATTCTCCTTTCATTATTCTTATTAATTTTATCCATTTCTAACCATCACATTTTTCATATTTAAGGGAGTGACCGGCAAAATCTGGTAGTTGAACTGAGAATGTAGTATTGTGGAGAAAAAAACGTTTTAATGATGTATAATTACTGAGTTTGAGCGTAAAGTCAATGTTCAAATTCATCCATTTGGATTGGGTAGTTACGTTTAGAGAATAGATTCTTTTTAAATTTATTAAATAACGACGACTAAAATGTAAAAAAAATTCTACAGTAAACTAATTAGATGTTTAGGAACAAATTTCTCATCAGAAATTTGTCAATAAATCAATGTTATAATCATTCATTTCTTTTTCATCATTATACTGAATTTCTTATTCTTTAAAAATTTGTTCACAGATTTCTTCAAATTCTTCAAATGTCCTCTTTTCCATAAAAATTCCACAAAATCTACAGAAAATGTTTGTGAGCAATGAGACATTACAGAAACCAATAACTAAATAAGATTACTTATTTTCGATGATAAGAGTCTATTCTAATTTTCTCATCCTGTTCCTAAACAACTCATTATTTTACCTTAGAATTTTTGTTACATTTTCGTCGTCGTTATAAAATAATTTTAAAAAGATCGATTCTCTAAACGTAACCACCCAAATAGATGACTTTGAACTTTACACTCAAACTCAGTAATTACATCATTAAAACTTTTTATATGTCTCAAATGAATCCAAAAAATTTCTCCACAAAACTACATTTTCAGTTTAACTATCATACATTGCCGGTCACTCCCTTTAATATGTCCTTACTTTTACTCATTGCACGACAAAAAAATGTTAACCGTCCCTGTTTAAAATTGTGAATATTGACATTATATCAAAACTGAAGAAAGTTTAAAAAGTTTTGATGTTTCTAAGTGTACAACATCTATACCATGAGTGTACACATATCGACATATTTTCCATTTCCAATATCCAAACAAAATTACCACTCGAAGAAATGATGGCCAACCAGGGGCAAGGGTTCTGTAGTGGGTGGGTTAATACTTTTTAATGTGGCGCGCGAAGAATTTTTTTTTTACCCCACCTAGACTTTTTTTACACCCCCTCCCTAGAAGAATATCATGAATGTATATCAAATTATTGGTTTTAGTTGGGTTTGATTTGCATTGGCATTTACAAATTCCATCAAAAAAAGGCAATTCATTTCCTACCTTTCAGCTTTCACCTTATTTTATATCCTTTATTATAGTCATTCATTTGACATTAACTACAAAGATCTGTAAAAAACTGAGTTTATTTTAAGTAATATAAAAAATAGTTTTACTCTAAGAAGAAAAAGATGCAACTTTTTTTAATCTTTAGAAAAGCTACTCTGCAAAACTTTGAAAAAATATTGTCTTTGTTTTTATTCTAATTTCTAATTTCTATAATTTTCTTGTCGTCAATATACTAGGTTTATATAATTTCACTATATTAAAAGGGAAATGTCTTACTTTATTTAATTCTTAATAATCTTGATCTTTTAACATTTTATTCCCCACCTCCCCCGGAAGAGCTTAATACTTAATTTGACATATAGTGGAAGTACGCTACCGCATTAAAAAACTCGTATTTTGGGTAAAATTTATCTTTGTTACTTGTTAAAGTTGATTGAGTAAGATTATCTACGCGAAGCGCCAAAATTTTGTTTACATTTTTCCTTTTAATGGTAATCATGGACATGGAGAATGGAGTTCAAGTTACTAAACCGGGATGTTTGTGTCCCAAAGATTCTAGTGGGGGATTTACCCATAGGGGGGGGGGGGTAATTACCCCAAGGATTCTAGGGGGGGGGGTAAGTAACCCCAATAACCCCCCTTATTTACGCCACTGGGCCAAACAAATTTATTTAAAGGGACTGTAAAGGAAAAATGAAAGGGGGTATAGGCTGAGAACTTATCACTTTAGCTTTTGATCTCGACCCCTGAAAGTTATATCTGATGTGGTGGTCACGTGATACAGACGGAGACATTTGACCAGTATACTGCTCTCATTAGTGGGAGTTCTGGTGACGAAATAATACAATCAATTATATTTATTAAAAATAAAAATAAAAATTATGAATAATAATTAGAGAAAACCCAAGTTACGACGAGGTTTCTCTGGGTTATCTTCGTTTTCAGATTGGTTTCTTATTTGCTGAATATGATCTGTTTCCATACAAAATTGTATATATATAGATATATATATATAAAGGAATTGAGTCTTTGCTACAAACTCTGTTTTTTAATCCCAATATCTTTGGAACCCAATGTCGTAAATCTTTGATATTTTTTGATCTACAAAAGTCATAGTTTGAAATTTCAAAGGTTTACGACGCTGGAATCCAAAGATATAGAGATTAGAAAATCAGAATTTGTGGCAAAGACTCAATTCCTTTGAAACAGTTTTATATTTATTTCTCGAGACAGGAACATCAAATATAACTTTCATGGGTCGCGATCAAGAGCTAAAATGATTAGCTTTCAGTCTATACCCCATTTCTCCTTTACAGTTCCTACAAGATATAACCCATTTTGTAAACAAAGGAATGTTAAGCACTTGTTTAACCCTATCACGGTTGGGGGATTCCATCTCCCGCCCCCTTAGGGTTTTCTCAGAAACTTTAAACGGCGCACACTAAAGCGCTCAAATTAATTTTGCCACAAAAATATTACTAAGGGTATGGGAGAAAAACAGTTGGTGAATTAAAAAGAAATCAATAATATGTTATTATATATAACCCAAATTGTTAAAGACAAAAAATAACAGAACCAGAATAGAGTTAAAAATATTTGAAGAAAAGAAATAAAGTTTAAACATTTTATTTTGTTTTAATTGTAACATTTGTTACGATATATTTTACGTGGATTTAACGGTTCTGTTAATATTTTTAAAAGCTTTGCGTGTTGATCACAAGTTGACCCGTTAAAAAGAATTTTTTAGCCTTTTTTTCTGAAATACTTTTTGTCGGTATATACATTATGAATAAAAAAGTACAGTATAAACAAAATCGTAAGTTGATTGTTGAATTATAGAACAAAACACGTTTGATTTCAAATAAAAGAAACCGAATGCATCTCACTCTGGTTAGTCCGGAATGATTTTGATGGTTATTTTATTGTTAGAAATGAAGTGAGTCAACCGACGTCAAATATATATTATTTACTCTATTAGGTTTGGATCATCGTTACACCCAAACAATAAAGTTTAAACAATAAAGAATACATTTATTTTCCAGTTTATGCTTAATTGTACATCTGAAGCAAAGTTTTTAATCAAAATTACACATAAACGATAACAAGGGGATTAATAAGCAGAACTATTCTAAAAATACTTAAATTACAATTTTAAAAACAATTCATTAATATAAGATTGTTAAAGTCAAAAGACTTGTTTACTTCAGATGTGATAAAAATTTCAAAATGTTTCAGAACAAAATTGCATTGTATTAAAGTAAATGGAACTGATAACTAACCTAAAACTCTAATATTCTAATATTCTAAACCTCATGTACGTCGGAGACCTTTGATATTCCAAACTATGAAAACTTTTAGATCAAATGGTCAAATTTTACATAATCAAAGGCCACACTTTCATGTTAAAGTCAAGGATATTAGAACATTTGAGTTTGTGGCAAGTGCTTAAAGATTCTTTTATAATTGCGAATATAATCACAAGCAAATTTTACTCCATTATGTGTATACTTGCATGTTCAATGCACGGAGTTTATATATCCATTGGTTTACAATAAAAACTTTTCTTTACAAATTATGAACGCATTTTATCTAAGTCATTTCCCAATGTAAGCAAGAATGAGAAAACGAGGTGTCACATGAAATTTTTAAATATACAGGGTGTCCCAAAAAACAAGTAGTAGGGGTTTTCGTTAAATTTTTACAATCAATTGGTGTCATGGAACACTAAACATATGATCTTAACTAAAAACAATGTACAGGTTTATTCTATGTTCGTGTTTCAAAATTCGAATTACTTTAAGAATTTTTTTTTATTTGGAGATGTATTTTTTAAATTTATTGTTTTTTATACTTAAATCAATAAATCAAAAAGATACAAGGTGTCCTACGAAAAATTTGCAGTAGGGGTATTGGGTGCAAAGGATATCATTTTCGTTTAATTTTCACAATCAAAGGGTCATTTAAAAGCTTATATATTTCAATTATTTCAAGGTGTAAATTTTGTGAGAAAAAGTTATGAGACAATTTATTTCTAGCTCTCAAAACTTTTTCTTACTAAACCGATTTTCGACTTATGCTCAAATAATTGGTTGTAACAAAAAAAGTATGAGGCCTAGAAAGAAAAATTTCACATCATGAAATAACTGAAATATAGAGCTTTCGAATGACACCTTGATCGTAAACATTGAACAAAAATTGTTTCCTCAGTTACTAATACCCCTACTGCACAGTTTTTTTTGAGACACCCTGTATATATATAGATATATATATAGATATATATACAAGATATCTTTGTTTTTTATAAAAATGTCAAAACTTAAAACTGCACCATTTGCTCCCGAAGTACTGAAAACTTTAGTTCATTGATGTACTGTTCCGGTGTTTAGGCAGGAAGACGAGTAAACGTTACAGTACAACAAGTAAATCATTCCCTGCTTTGGGGAACAGGTGATTTGATAAAACAAGTTTGAACCAATAAATAATATTTCTTAAATCAAGATTTTGATCAGTTAATATTTGAACATCTCTGGTAGTTTCTGGATAAATTCTTTTTTTAATTTAAAACAAACTTTGCCGAACACTTAGATTTGTTAAATCCCTGTAATTTTGCAACCCGGAATGTCGTATATCTTTGAATTCTACAGTCTAAGCTTGAAATATCAAAGGTTCAAATTGATAAAGGATTACAAAATTAAGGTTTGGAGCAGTTTCCACAAATCGAAGAAAAAATTTTAAGAGTTTTTTTTGTAATTTTTTTTACTAAATACTAATTGAATCTGAATTCTGGAATCATGAATTTTACTTCTATAGCATTGTTAATAAGAAAATTATCAGAAACTTTTTTTCCTTTCAGCAGAAATTTTACTTTCTCCTTCTGTCTAGTTTGCAGAGTTAAAAATTCTTTCAGCTTTGTTTTGAAAAAAACGTAGTCCTTAGTTTGAAATACTCTTATTCTGATAAAATCATAAAAGGAATATATTATGCACAAGATTTGTTCACGTGATTTCAAAACACGTGCTGAAAATTCCGACTTTGAATTATGATTTCTTTATAAGAATATTTTAAAATCAATATTTTCGCGAAACACGTTCAAAAATTAAGAATGCATTAATGGATTATCATGATGATGAAAACTAGTGTACACTGTACACTGTACAGTAAACACTGTACGCTGTACAGTGTAAAGTAAAAACAGCTTTTAATCACTGTACACTGTACAGGTATGACAGTTCATAAATCCATGAAACACTGGTTTAGATGATTTCACAATATACTTTTACTTTAAAGTGTACAGTGAAAGTGTAAGGTGTATGGGCAGTACACTTTTACACTTGACATTACATTGATGAGTATCCTTATTTAATTATTTGTACACTGTAAAGTTCAAGGTGTGCAGTGCTACATCAATAGCTATGTACACTCTGATTTTAAGGTCTCAAGCTCTTAAGCTAAAATCTATGAGAATTTTGCCAATTACTTCTAAAAACCAAAACTATCAACAAGTGCTTTAAGGTGCAAAAATATGCATGTAAATGGCTGCTGAAAAGCACAAGTGAGTTAGTTAGCGATAACATCAAATTCCAAGGTGTTGGAACACTTTAAACTCCCGCGGTCTTAAATATTTATGAGAGTTTTTAATAAGCAGGCTGAATATATGTATGTACAAGACACTAAATTAATGCTTGTACAATACAAGGTACTAAAACTTTACTGTTTACACTTGTACAGGTTTATTCTTCTCTTCTCTTGCAAGTTTCTGAAGTTCTGTTGGTTCAATGGAGTCCCTCGACACTCGTCTAAAGCAAGAAAATTGTAAATATTTTGAGCCAGATAATTATTTTTTAAACCCCCTGGTACACAGTGTTGTTTATTGTCTTTTTACATGATACCTGCACTTTTTATTTATTAGAATTATTGTTTATTAGAATTTGGCATAATTTGTGTTCTATCAAAGTAACAAACTAAAGCATTTTTCATTTAAGACACAATAATTTAGTTTTTTTATAAATCTTTTCCTAGACTAAAAGCTTTAAGGAGAACGGCCGAACTCAATATCCAATCCAGAAACTTTTGATTTGAAGTGCCTTACCCGTAAAAAAAACAGCTGAATCGTATTTTTACTTTCTCTCTTTGGTCTAGAGCAGAATTTTTCGAATGTTCTATTCTTATCGCACCATACAGATATCAATTTAATTTGAGACGCTGTGAAAGATGCGAATCCGTGTTTTTCAATGATCTTGAAAAAAAACATTTATGGCCTTTTTTATCTTGTAAGAAGACGATATTTACCTGGTTGGACAGCTGAATATCTTGAACTTTGAACCGAACGACTCCCCCTCCTCCAGAGTGTTTGGGAGATGGGTCCACAGTGTCTCCGGTAGGAACAGAGCTGCTACTCCGCCCAGACAGGAGAAACTACCCATAATCACCAGGGGGAGTATACGGCTGATTACTCCCTAGAAGGAGATTTCGAATCATTTAAAAAAAAAAATTTTGGCAAATCTTTTACTGTTTCAGGGACTGTAGTGTAACTTAAAGAAACCCTCCATGCAAAGATGGCGATTTTCAACGGTATACCCTTAAAACCTGAATCAGATAAAAAATGTGAGAAATATTGACGTTTTTCTAGTTTTTAATTCTCATAATTCCTATATATTTTCTTGCTGTAGAAATGCGCAAGTCCTTTTGTAAAGAACCCAGAATTTTTTTTAAATTATAAGCATTAGCATCTGTTTCACACTTGATCAGACATATTTTGAAATGTGAATCGGGAGCTGTCGTCTTTGTAGAAAGGTTCGCTTAATTAAAAAATTACAGTTATATATAAGTTATATTTTTTATACTTTGGTAGAGTGCTGCAATCAATACGTGATTTATACAGATTAGACTCATGAGAATTAAAGACGTCTTATCTTTCCGATATTGACGGAAATGTATTTATTGATAAAGATTGTTCTACTTAGTTGAACAATCCAACATTTGGGAACATTTTCTGAAAAAGCATAAATATTTATTCCATGGAAAAAGATTTACAAAAAGATCAAAGATCAAAAGATCAAAAAGATTTACAAATTTACGCTTAATTTTCATGTTTTTGGGACACAATATAATGTCTATATTACTAAAGCTCTCTAAGACAAAATACATAGGAAAAACTTGGCAAACTGTTTGAATAAGGGAAAACTTACCAAGCTGTTTATATAAGGACAAACTTACCAAGCTGTTTATATAAGGGAAAACATGCCAAACTATTTATATAAGGAAAAACTTACCAAGCTGTTTATATACGGGAAAACTTACCAAGAACTTACCAAGCTGTTTATAAGGGAAAACTTACCAAACTGTTTATATAAGGAAGAACTTACCAAGCTGTTTATATAAGGGAAAACTTACCAAACTGTTTATATAAGGAAGAACTTACCAAGCTGTTTATATAAGGGAAAACTTACCAAGCTATTTAGATAAGGGACAACTTACCAAACTGTTTATATAAGTGAAAACTTACCAAACTGTTTATATAAGGAAGAACTTACCAAGCTGTTTATATAAGGGAAAACTTATCAAACTGTTTATATAAGTGAAAACTTACCAAACTGTTTATATAAGGAAGAACTTACCAAACTGTTTATATAAGGGAAAACTTACCAAGCTGTTTATATAAGGGAAAACTTACCAAACTGTTTATGTAGGTGAAAACTTGCCAAGCTATTTATATAAGGGAAAACTTACCAAACTGTTCATACAATGGAAAACTTACCAAACTGTTTATATAAGGGAAAACTTACTAAACTGTTTAAAATAAGAAAAACTTACCAAACTGTTTGAATAATGGAAAACTTACCAAACTGTTTGAATAAGGGAAAACTTACCAAGCTGTTTAGATTAGGAAAAACTTACGTTAATATAAGGGAAAACTTACCAAACTGTTTATATAAGGGAAAACTTACCAAACTGTTAATTTAAGGGAAACCTTACCAAACTGTTAATATAAGGGAAAACTTACCAAACTGTTTATATAAGGGAAAACTTACCAACCTGTTTATACAAGGGAAAACTTACCAAACTGTTTATATAAGGGAAAAGTAGAAGACCAATTCCTGCAACAAATGAGGATATTCCCATCGCCTAAAAATAAATAAGATTTCTTTGTGTCATGTTTAACCCCCCCCCCCCCCGGTCCCCTCTCTTCCCAACTAGGGAAATAAATGCCCAAGCCTAGTGTTTAAAAAGTACTAGGCTAACCAGCTTAAATATAAGATCTAGCAATTTAAATAAAATGGCCTATTTATATGTTGTAAGTTTTAATCCTTAAACTAAACTTTCGGTGCGTTTTTCATTAATCTGCAGTGTGCTGACCATAGAAATAACTGATTTAATGGAGGGTGCTATAAAAGGTAGATACCATTTTAAATATTGAAATGTAAATAAGGAACTTTTTAAATTTATGTTCAAAACATTTAAAAAAATTCAGAATCTAAAAAATGGGAAACTTTTAAGATTGTAACGAATTTACACATTTTTACCTGTGATCTCACTACAGTGGGCATAAGCTCCCCAGCATAAACATAAATGACCGCAAAGCTTGCGGCTATCTGGAACTTTCCAACCATAGCCAGACATACCGTCCACCAAGGATCAGCGTCTGAAAAAAAAGATATTATTTTTCATTTCTTTTAGGATTTTAATCATCGATAAAATTGTACCACCGGTAGATTTTAAATTTTTTTTACATTTTAATTACATTTTATCATAATAGGATTTTTAAGTTAATTTCATTTGCATGATTATTAATATTTTTGTATTTATAATACTACCAATGTTTTATATATATATATACTTACTTAACGTAGCACCAGTCAAAGCACTGGTGAGAATGCATACACCTCTCTTCTGGTTGGTGCTAGGTCAAGTAAGCATTTTTAAAACAGTGTACAGGTATATTTTTATTTTTATCACAAAGGAAAAATATTTTAAAATCCTACTGGAAGGTGAAACAGAAAAAGGCGCAAAGAGCGTGCAAAAACCTACCAATAGGGACAAATATGCAGGATATGCATGATAATCCTCCAAGCATCATAGTTTCAAACAGAACCCATCGTCTTCCCCATTTGTCCATGAAATACCAGCCAAGGAAGTAGGAAGGAACCTCTACTGCAGAACTGTACAACGGAAATCAATCAGTTGTTTTTAAATACGGACTACTCACAGAACAGAGCTGGGAACTTTAGAATCGTGGATATCAGGATTAATGCTTAATCCTCTGTTTTTGCTTATCTCGAGATTAACATCATCTCGAGATTATGTTAGTCTCCAGATTAAAAATTTAGATCAACAAATTGAATTCTAAGAACGCCAGATTGGTTCGTTTTCTTAACTTAATTTCTCGTCCATTTATATATTACAAAAGAATCTTAAACCTATTATTAAATATTTTTCTTCACCGACTATAACTTAGAAAATGGCCGAAAAAAAATTGTTAAAAATTGCAAAAATTGCGGATTTCTCTCATGGGATAGAATTTCAAGGCTTTCATTAGTCAATACAATTTGCGAACAATATTCCTGCACTCTCATTGGAGAAAACAATGTACGGACCAAAGAGAGAGAAAAAGAGTGGATTAAGGATTAAAATTAAAAGTTTCCACATGGATATTCGGATTAAGTAGTTGGGATGAAAGGTTATCCATTCTAAAGTTCCCAGCTCAGGTAGCATAGAACCAGCACTGACGCGGACCACCCTGCCTGATTGGCTGGAAAAGAATTTACTAATCATACAGCTACACAAAGCTGTATATTTCTGAGCAATCAATCAATCGAGCTGTATAAGTTGGGGTCATTCTAGTTGTTAATTTGTGCACATTATTGTCTGCACAAAAACTTTTTTATTTAAGTCCATCAATTGTGCATTTAAACATAAACATTGCAGCATTGAGCACTTTTAAACATTTTGTTCGTTTTATCGATATAATTTCGAAATCATGAAAATGTTGTTCGAAATAATGAAAATATTATTAAGGTTATCTATTCCCTATATCCTGATGCTATAAATCTTTGATATTCTGATTATTTAAGGTAAAAAAATGCCTATTTTGAAACAAGAAGCTCTACGACATTGGGTTGAAAAGATATAGGGATTAGAAAACTTAAGTTTGTGGCAAAGTAAGTTCAACAGTTTCTTAAAATGTTGTTGCTTCAAAATTAACCTGGGTTCAAATATTGATGGTTTTAATTATTATCAGACCAATCAGAGCGTGTAAGCAGTGCGGCTCGGACGAACTTGAATTGATTAATGTTTCCTGATAAAGAATCCAAGATGAGAAGAAACTTCAAGGTTAGCTGAATAGTAGGAGAGGCCGTTGTAAACCAGGGCATTGGCCAACCAGTTAAATGTGATTAAGAGGAAGTTTCTCCGAGCTATCGGATACCCACGGATCATGTCAAAAATACTCCTAAATAGTTGGATTTAGATCAAGAGTAGAGTAAGGTTAACTACTCTGGATGCGCTCCTATGTAGTAGAAATGTCGTCTTCAAAGCATTAAACTCTGAAAATTCTAATATGACGTCTTTAGATCTGAGTGGAATATTGAAACTCTGTTAATTTGTATGGAATCTACGTTCTGGTATGAGCCGTTTTTAACCCATTTCTCCTTAAATACGCAACAGTTAAAAGTAAAATTAGTATATAGACAAGTATATAGACAAGTATATAGACAAGTATATAGACAAGTATAAACTTATAAAGACAAGTATATAGACAAGTATTTAACATGAAATTTGCTTTAGTTTAACGTTGGTGTTCTGAATAACGTGTAATTTACAATAGTTTAACGTGGGTGTTCTGAATAACATGGAATTTACCATTGTTTAACGTGGGTGTTCTTAATAACGTGCAATTTACAATTGTTTAACGTGGGTGTTTTGAATAACGTGCAATTTACAATAGTTTAACGTGGGTGTTCAGAATAAAATGTTCCTTACTTTTCTGCTCTTTGTTCCACTTGATCCATATTCTCCTTGTAGTGGGGTTCCTCACCAGAAAACTGGCAAATAAAGATGGCGTAAACACATCTTTTATTACAAATACATAAAACCATATTTTACCCAATTTATTCTTTATATTTAAGACATTTTGAAAAATGCCAATGATCAATTTTTTTGATTCTTGTATATTAGATTTTTAATGGTCAATTATTCTAATAAGAAATGATTTGAAAAGAAACAAGAAACTTTTTTTCTCTCTTTTTGTCTATAGACTGTATACAGTGAGAAACAGAAAAGTATTAAGAAGGAATACGACATAAAAGATATATTTAAGTGTATTTAATGTAATTTCAAAGTAAATAGATTTAGTTATATCTTTAAAAAAAGGTAAAATTTCAAACTATTATGTGTGTTAGAATAAATAATTTTAGTTTTTAGTTTGAAATATGTAGAAAAGATATCGTGATTATTAGAAAAACTTTAGTTTATATAAAAGACTCAATTCCTTTAAAATAATGTTGATCAACCTTAGTATCCTGCCTAGTCCCACTAGTTCGTCTACTGCTTGAGCAGCTGGCTTGGGCCGCCTAAACAAGAGCTTTTACTGTTTTCTTATATACTAGGTTTTTAGGGCGCTTCGAGTAACAATTATAGTTTTTAAATACTGTTATCAAGCCGCCAATTTTTCTTCGTATTAAACAGAAAACTAAAATTTCGCGAGTTTTTCTGTTTTCGATCTTTCAAAAAGATTTAAAACTATCAAAGCAACATTTTAAAACTGTTGACCGGTGTCCATACATGGAGCGGACTCTTGCATCAGGCGGACTCCCCTTAAAGTTTTAACCATTTTTACACAATGTTAGACATAAAAAGCAATGTTATGACATTTTCCGATTTATCTCTGTCTTGAGAAAATATAAATTGTTTGAAATACATTTAAGCATTAAATGCGTATTTAATATATGTCAACTAATAATTTCTAATGTTTTAACATTGCTTTTTGTGTCTAACATTGTGTTAAAATGTTAAAAGATAAGGGGTCGAGTCCGCCCCATGCAATAGTCCGTTCCATGTAGGACACCGGCTTTTAATCTGGGGTCATGTGAATTACCACAAAAAATATATTCTTTTGTGGATACAAGCAGACAGACAAGCAGACAGACAACCAGACAGACAAGCAGACAGACAAGCATACAGACAAGCAGACATACAAGCAGACAGAAAAGCCAAATATGTATAATTTAACCATAACACTCTCATTTTTGACACTATCACCGTAATTTTTTTTTTGACTGTTATAATAAATAGAAATTTAAAGGATTTTTTTGTAAAATTTTTTTATTTTTTTTTATGCATAGGTAGGGCGGTAAAAAGTCCGGTCTGTGTAAAAAAAAAAAAAAAATTAGCGGGCAACTTTTTTATGACTAAAGCTACAGATCTATATTTTTGAAAAGCCCTTGAAAAATGTTTCGATCCACGGTTTGATATTTGTTTTAAACCAAAAAAAATTTTTTTAGCTTTTTTTTCAGCTCTCACTAGCAACCAAACTATAAAAGTTGTCTAACAAATTTTTTGTTCAATGAACTGGCCTAGAGAAATTGGGCTATGGACATGCAGTTTAACCCTATACTTATCCTCTGAGGCTGGGATGAATGGTCTAATGGGCTCTTTAATTAATTGGATTGAAAATAAAACTGATTATTCGAATTTAAAGAAAATATTAGCGTGATTTTTAAAGAGCCCTCCATGCAAAGATAGCAATGCTTGATTCACAACGGTACCCTTAACACCTTTTCTGATCAATAATGTAGAATCTGTTTATCTCGGTTTAAAAGTATTGGATTCAGAATGAAGAAATGCAAAAGTCCCACTTGCAGAGAAACCACCATTGAAATTTTTTTTTAAATTATATACATTAATATCTTATTCGTGCTTGATCAGAAAAGGCCTTTTATATTAAAGGGTACCGTTGTGAATCGGAGAATTCCATCTTTGATGAAGGCTCACTTGAAATTATGTTTTCAGTTCTTTAACAAAAACAAAATGGCGGATACCATCTGATGTATAAAGTTTGCAGGTATATCCTTCTTGTTCCATTTAGCAATCCTCTGAACCACGACCTCAGCTTCGTCTATCCTTCCTGTAGACAGCAACCAGCGAGGAGACTCCGGCACTATCCACCTTAATACACAGGGAGTCACTTATGTAATGTATATCTTCTGAGATAAAAAAATCGCAAATAAATTGAGTTTCTGTAACAAACTCAAATTTTGTAATCCCTTTATCTTTGCAATATGATGGATAACCCTATGAAATTTTAAGCTTAGACTTTTTTATCAAATATAATTCATATTTTAAAATATCAAAGGTTGCAAAGATGTATAGGCTATAAAATCAGATTTTGTGGCAAACCTCCAGTTCCTTATCTTTTACGAGTTTCCTTGGAGCAACACTTATTTCTATAAATGTAGACTGCCAACAAATACAAATTGTGTAATGTTTCCTGTTTTTCCAGCGCACGGTTTTCACAAGTTAATTTAACTAAACAAACTTATTCCGGATCCCTGTGTTTAATTTTATTTTACAAACTTTTGAAAAAATTTAACTTGTGAAACCATGCCCCGTGCACAGTCAAACGATAATTCAACAAAAAACAAATCTGTACAACATGTTTTTGTTGTCCGCCTTTGCTATTTATAATTTCTAAATTTTTAATAAAAATATTAAATTTAGTAAAGAAACACAAGCGCATGCTGTTATCAATTATAAAATTGAAAAAGATTTAATTTTTAAAAATTACAAATAAATTGTCTGCCCGCCAAAAAATTTAAAGATTGATATTGAATAAAAGAACAGTACAGTAATATTATAATTGTTAAATATAAAATATCTATGTTTTCATGGTATAGAAAGAAAATACAAGTTTTCTCCGTGAAAACAAAAGAAGGATAAATATAGTGATGTTCAATACTAAACAAACCCCAAGCAGAACTCGGAGCACAAAATAATCAATAATATAACTAAAAACAAATACCAACAATAGTATAGCTAAAAACAAAGACCAAGAATAATATAACTAAAATCAAAGAACAACAATAATATAACTTAAAACAAAGACCAACAATAGTATAACTAAAAACAAAGACCAACAATAATATAAATAAACCAACAACAATAGAATAACTAAAAATAAAGAACAACAATATAACTAAAAACAAAGAACAACACTTATATAACTAAAAACAAAGACCAACAATAGTATAAATAAAAACAAAGACCAACAATAATATAACTAAAAACAAAGACCAACACTAATGTAACTATAAACAAAGACCAACAATAATATAACTAAAGACAAAGACCAACAATAGTATAAATAAAACCAAATACCAACAATAATATAACTAAAAACAAATACCAACAATAATATAACTAAAAACAAATACCAACAATAATATAACTAAAAACAAAGACCAGCAATAGTATAAATAAAAACAAATACCAACAATAATATAACTGTTAACTATAAATGTTAAATGATCATTTCAACTGAAACTGCGAACAATTTAGGATTACTCACCAATAAACAAAGAGAGATAGAAACGGAAGTGAAGTAATGAGTGCTAGATTGAACCACGTGTTAAACATATAGGCTAATCCTGAAACAAAAATTAATATTCAAATGAAATAATATGATAATTCATAAGAAGAGTTTTGTGTTAACTGTATACATAAAGTATTAATCTCTGCAGCTGTTAGTTTGTTATTGGGTCTCAATTTTTTGAGAATTTCTTTTTTTAAAGCCATTCGTGAGGGCCAGGGTTTTTTACTTTGGGGCCCATGGATCTCTATTTAAAGGCCCATGGTTCTCTGATTTGAGGCACATGGATCTCTGGTTTTTAGGGCCATCAATCTCTGATTTTAGGGCCATCAATCTCTGTTTTTAGGGCCATAAATCTCTGTTTTAAATAAAGACCATGGATCGAGGACCATTGTTTCCTGCTTTGAGTGACATGGTTCTATGTTTTGTTAGGAACATACCAGTTTTCTAACATTTAATAAATCAAAATTGCTTTTCTTGCTAAATCTTGATTCTATCTCCTTTTCCTTTTATAAACTTTGTGTACTTCCCCCCCCCCCCAGTTCCTTCATCATATATTTCTCCTCTATTTTACTACAATACTTTTTCCTATATTCACTTCTTTAAAATACAGTCATTCTCCTCCGCATCTATTTGTTTTCCTTAAAAGAACTGTAGCTGTAAGTTTAAGAGATCAATATTGTTGAAGATAACGTCGTTTCTCCGTGATTCCTTTCAAATGTGCAAATCACAATGGAAAATAATCAGTTTTCAAAATTATAAACTTGGATATCTATAAATTCATAATTGATCAAACTTTTAGGGATACTAAATCCAGCTAAGTGATGGATGATACTTTTTTATTCATTTGATATTAATAATTAATTTGTTACCAAACAGACCTTATTTATCTTTTGTAAAAAACTCCCTTTAACAGATTAAAGAGCCTTATTAAAGTAAATGAAACCTATTAATTAAACTGAAAATCATTATCAAGACAGTGTGTTCTTTTTGTACCTGATAAATATTGAGTCTGTATGTTCAGAAGTTATTTTTATAAAACCTTGTGTAAACAACATTTCAACATTCTTAATTTAGTTTATCTTTATATAGGGTGAGTAAAAAAAAGGAATAATTAGTGCTATGGACAAAATGTACTAAATTCTATTTTTGTTCGGAGTTTAGGCATAAATAAAATAAAATTTGATCAAAATTCCAAAAAATATTTTTGGAAAATTAAAAAAATTCCTCGAAGCCAATTTTTTTTAAAAAAGTATTTATTTATTCTGTTGTTTTCCAAAATTTCAAAAATATTTATTGAAAATTGAATGAGATATAACAAAAAATTTAGTGTGGAAATCTGCAGTAATTATGACCTCAAAAATGCAAATAATTGGTTTACATTTTTTGTCATATCTCATTCAATTTTGATGATTGTTTATGAAATTTTGGAAAACAAAGAATCCAAAAATTAAATTAAATTGCTTCAAATTTTGATTGGGAAACTTGGAGAAACGACTGAAATATGTTCTTAGCTTGGTTTTAAAATTCTAAAATGGGTTGCTTGACTTTTCTAGAGAAATTTTAGTTTCGAGTCAGTTTAGAAGCCGTATAATATTACTTTGTTTCAAGCAGAAGGCAGTTTTGCATATATAAGCCAACATCTTTTTTTCGATATTCCATTGAATTTTACCTTATTTTTCTTACAGACTTCATTCTGTGGACTGTTCAGAATATAATTTTATAAAGATTACTGCAAATAATAAGCTTACTACAAAATAAAGAAATAATAGGATTTCAACTCTTTAAATCTTTTATTTAAAATCCTTTACAAATGAATTTTTTATCCATTCACAGGAGAATTTGCAGTTGTTGTTGTAGTTGTAATTGTAGTTGTAGTTGTAGTTGTAGTTGTAGTTGTAGTTATAGTTGTAGTTGTGGTTGTAGTGGTGGTTGTGGTTGTAGTGGACGTAGTAAACGAATTAGTAGTAGAATTTGAGGAATTGACCGCTGTGCTTGATGAAATTCTAGTCACAGTGGTTAATGTTGAGTTTACAGTTGAAGCGGTTGAAGATGCATTTAAAGAAGTATTAGAAGTTGTTGTTGTTGTGGATGCCGTCAACAAACTAACAACGTTTCTGATATATGATAATATTTTTAATCAAGACAACCTTTAATCTTAAATAATTAATTTCAAACTTTAGAAATTAAGTTTTTGCCTCAAAGTTTAAACTCTGATTTTCTAATTCCTATCAATCAATTAATCTTAGTTTGAAATAATAAAAGTTTACACCATCTGGTTGCATAGATATAGAGATACGATCTTTTTAGTTTGTGGCAGACTAAATTCCTTTGTATTTCCAAACCAATATAATATATATATTAGATTTTTTAGGTTAGAAGAAAAGATATTAAAAGAACAGAGCTGAGCCCGCGATTTAAAACTTCGGCTCGAGCCGTAATTCCTTAAACCCGACTTTTAGACCCAATCTTTGACCCAACTCTGACGACAGCTTGTGTCACGTGATTGACAGCTGTAAGATCTTCGGCTCGACTTAAGGAGTATCGGCCCAAATAAAATAAAACCGACCTTGATTGGTTTTAGTGGAGAATAAGGCTCAATGTTGCGTCTTGTTCTCATAAAAACTGGGAATGCGCCAATTCCTACCATGAAAATCATACTAATAGAATATTAAACCGTTTTTTTAATTCAACTCTGTTGGAATTAAGATGCAGTTTGAATCCGAAAGCTCAAGCCCTAAATAAGGCCCAACGACAGCTTAGACCCCAGACATATTTACCTGATATTTTTTAAATTGCGGGCTCTGAAAGCGTAATTTCAAGTGACCCTCCATGAAAAAATGAACAACGGTACCCTTAAACATATTGATAATAACTATGCATGTTTTTAGTTTATTTAAAATGTCTGTTATTTGGGGATTCTCTGAAAAAGGGACTTGCACATTTTTCTTGCAAATAAGAAACGGTGGAGAAATTCATAGAACTAAATACTTTCCGAGTCAGAGAAACAACATTTTTGATCAGGTTTAGGTTTCAAGATTAGCGTTGAAAATCAGTCATTTTTGCATGGAGGGTCACTTGAAATTACGCTTACAGTTTTTTCAGCATATTTCGTATCTTTACAGATCCAATTACATGATTCCTTTTAAATAAAAGTGAACAGAAACAAAAATTATCTTTCCTGATGAGTATCTCCTGGGTCAGTAGAACCTGAGAAATATTTGCAACTACGCGTTCTAATTCTTTAATCTTGGCTTGGGATTGGTTCGTAAACATTTCAAGGCTTGTTCTTAGCTCAACTCAAACAGATATTAAGATTTAAATAGAGTAAATTAAGATGTGTAAGGACAGAACAAAAAAAAATCTTTTCTTTTTCAAAAAAAGCACGTCGAATATGATGCACGTATACGAACAAGTAGAAGGAAATTTAGAAAAAAAAAGTCAAAATACTTGCGGCTGATGTCATTCTGTCATGCTACATTCATAGAATTCTGTTCAAATTAAAATTATTAAAATAAATATTTAAAAATATTTAAATAAATAAATAGCCAACAAAATAATTATGGAAGTGATTTTTTCATCATTCGCAATCGTTAGATTTTGGGAATCTAGATATTTTTTTCAATCATTCCCGATTAAGATTAAGAAACACATTTTCTTCAATTTCTTTTATATAAGCTGCGTAAATCTGGAAATCACTTTATAAAAAAATACGCAATTCAAATTGAAATTTCAGATTGAATATCTAGGATAACTACTTTTCTTTTTACGGCTTATTGTGAAATGAAAAGAAAGGCGTTTGTAAAATCAAAAACAAAACTATTTAAAATATAGACCGGGTCGTGTCATTCTATTTACCAGCGCTGGGAACTTTGGTTTGGATACTTATAATCCAGATCACTTGATCTCAATATCTAATGTGATCACTTTTAATTTGAGCATCAATGTTTAATCTCTTAAGGGTACAAATAGTCTGAGGATATCAAGTGAAGATTAAATTAACCTGCAGATTAAAAAAGGTTCGAGAATAACCATTGAGCTTGATATTCACAGTACAAGAGTTCCCAGTGCTCAGACCTGGGAACTTTTTTTTTATACTTAGAATCCCCATCACTTGATCTCGATATCCATTGTGAGCACTTTCAATTAGAGGATCTAAACAAACCCATATCTGTTCATATCTTTTTTTCAGTTATTCCTCCCATGATTAAAGCTTCATTCAATCCCTGACCGGATACGATTATCAAAAAGAGGTCAAATTAATCTGCAGATTAACAAAACATCGAAATCAAGCATTCATCTCGATTTCCTCAATACAAGATCGAGTTCCCAGCTCAGCAGCTTGCTTTAATATAATATTTAATATCCTAAGGTAGTGTTTAGCTCGGCAGTGTTGTTCTTAGTAAGACTGTTCAGCCTACTATTGGCACCAGTTAACTGTGCTAATTTTTTATCAGTGTTTTTTCTTTCTGTTGCCCCCTAAACACTGTTTTTGTGATATTTAATCTCTTAAAGGGACTATAGACTTAAGGTTTTAAGTATGGAGTGACATATACGATTCTCAAAGGTACCCTTTAAACTTTAATCTAATAATAGAGGACAGAGAAATCCGTATTTTTTCTCTAAATATAAAGTGTCGGTAGCAGTAAATATTACAGTGTGAACTCCATGTGAATGACGTCAAATAATTGCCGCGGATCTTTAGATAAAATATGTGAACACTTCGGTATCTTTTATCAGACAAAACTCAGAGGGTACCATTGTGAATCGGACGTCCCTAGCTTAAAATAGAGGTTTGCCATGTAATTATATCCACAATCCCTTTAAATCATAAATTATAATTTTTGAAAACAGTTTCCTTTTTCTGAATTGCTGATATTTTTTTCGCCATTTGCCCTATTTTCGCTTTGTTCACCCTTGCTTCAAGAACGGACAGCCTCTGAACATTTAAATCAATTTAAATTAAATAAATATTTAAAACACTATTATTTTGGTTCGCAGTGTTGTAAAGTTTTTGGATAGAAATTTTCTCTTTATTTTGAAGATTCAAGCCTTTTTAGATTTAATTTTGTCGTGAGTCAAAATATAATGTTGATTTCAATTTTGATTTATTTTCAATTGGAAAAAAAATATTTTTGAAATATCCTATTTTTTTTTTAGAAAATCCTGCAACCATTCAAAAACTGTATAGCACACGTGCTATAATTTTACAACTAATTTAACATTTTTATACCACGATCATTATGAAATTCACGATGAAGTGAGTAATAATGAACAATAGTTTCATAAAGTATAGCACAGTAATTTCATGAAATTTTCTATAATATATAAAAAAAGATTTATAACCTTGGTCAAGGCAGATAGAGTAGGAGTTGCCTTTCCCTTCCCACCTTTCTTTTTAGGTTTTATAGTTTTGGATTGCCTTTGTTTCTCTCTTTTCAATTTTATTTTTCTTTGGTTTTCATTTAATTTTGGTTGTTTTTTAATAACAGCTCCACGTCTTGTATCAACAGTTTCTCCCTTCCTCTTATTTTTTATTTTTTTCAATAGTTTTAGCTTTTTCACACGATCAAACTTTTTCAAACTATTTATCTCTTTCTTCTGTTTCGCCTCTTTCAATTTCTTTTTTGACTCCTTTGATTTCTTTTTTGAATCTTTAAACCTATTTCGCCACGTAAAAGGTATTCTAAGCTTTCTTGTGATTACAACATGAACTTTAGGTATCACTGACTCATTTTCTAAAAGTAAAGGAATTGAGTGTTTGGAACAAAATCAAATATTTAATCCCCAATATCTTTAGAACCCGATGGTGTAAACCTTTGATATTTCAAACTCAGATTATTTGATTTAAAAGAATTTATTGTTTGAAATATCTAAGGTCTACAACATTTGGTTCCAAAGATATAGTGATTATAAAATCAGAGTTTGGGGCAAAAACTCCTTTGTCATTAAAACATCTTCAGATTTCCAGCGTCAAATCAAATCTTTCAAAAATTTTGCTTTTACCCTCATAAATTTCTAAAATTAAAACCCTGTAATTTTTTTTGTAAAAATCCACATCAGTACTTGTATCTTTGCTCTTTTGAATCATTGGCAAAAAAGTATTGTTGTCATCTCCCGATTTTGTTAAAATTTTAACAATTTCTTTTAATATTCCGATACACTTACGTTTAGTTGTTGCTTCAGTATTTTCAGGGTTATCTGTAGCGATCTCTGTGAGATCTCCAGAACTATCATTATGTGATTTCACGCTGATGATCCTTTTAGATGTTGACACGTCTCCAGGATTTAAATGACTTAGATCCGGCTGGGATATAGTGTAGGGAAACATGATCATTGTACAACAAATATAATACCATACAAGGATCATTTTTGACTGTTATTCTACTAAACATGAAGGCTGGAATATAACTGCATATTTTTATTTTGTAATTATTCACAATTAAAGGCCGAATAGGATTCTACATATATACAACTAAAACTGGGTTTAAGTTTAATTATTTACTTCCTGTCTGAATAATGAAATACTCCTTTAATAAAAATAATTAAAAATGAAAAGTTTCTGTAGTTTACAAAATATTTACTTGTGTTCTTTGCAGACACTAATTTAATTTATCTGAGCTTTTCCCAACAAGCTCCAACTTTCGACCCCAATTTTACCAATTAAACATAAGATTTTGTTCTCTGTTTTTCTCTCTAAAACAGTTGTTGCAACGTTCCTTTAATCAGGATCGTTCCAGTTTCCTTTACATCAGTTACAACTGTAGTCATGTCATGAACGATGTGATCGTAATATCATTTTAAATATCATTGGAAAAACAGCTTTCTATGGAGACTAAACTTTCTCCAAAAAAACTCTCAACTTTTTAACCAAATTGAGAATGTTTTACCGAGTTCCCAAATCAAAATTTAAATAAATCTGTTAAGAGGTTCGATACTGAACAGTAACAAACAAATAGAGATTACTAAATATATATACCTGAGTCCAAAACTAAAGAACGAAAAGTTTTGACTTAAATTTTAAGTTCATGGTTAAATGCCACTTCTGACTTAATTTAAACCTGAACTTTAACCGTGAGGTAAAACATTTAACCCGAAATAATCGACGAGTTAAAATTTAAACACATGGGTTAAAATCTTGAAATCCTGCATTTTCCATTGTCTAATATTCAATCATCATACAGCTGAGTAAGTGGCATTCAACTTTACGATATATTTAAAAGTGAAAACCTTGTTAAAGAAATTTCACGTTTTAGATTAATTAATTTTTGCATGTAAACCCAAAATACGGTTTTAACTCGAAATATGTTTTGTTTTCGGTTACGTAATAACAGCTGATTAGCGATGGTTATGTAATATTCTCCGTAAATCCTTTTCTCTGATTGGTTCAGATTTTTCCCGGGAAATTCAAATTTAAATTTGAGAAAGTTTAATATTTAAATAGCTATTCATTATTTTACAGAACTTTTAACCTCGAACTTAAAATTCGCGCATTCTTTAGTTTTAGACTCTGGATGCTAACATTTGACTTTAAATATTTAAACACTACTTTAATTTGCCAACAGCGTTTTTATAGAAATTAGTTTAAAGAAAACATACTATTGGTATATCATACGCTATCATGTCAGCGCGAATATAGATATCTAGCTATTACATTCTAATTGTTACGAACACTCCCTTTTATCAGATATTTTACTAACCTGCTAGTATCATGAGAGCTACAGCAAACACCAGGCAAAGCATCATACCCGCCATTGTTCTGTAGGCTGGACCCAGCATCTCCAAACCTAAGTATATTAAAGGGATTGTTTAATTTTCTCAAAATAGACAAATTAACCCTATCCCTGCTGGGGTACTTAAAAACCAGGATATGTTGGGGGGGGGGTAGCAGGAATAGGGTTAAGATACTTTGCTTATTTAAGAATGAAATGTTAGATTTAGCTGTAAATATTAGATATATAGGGTTACCCACAAAGGATGATACTTCAGAGATGACTGTACGGAATTCAAACTTGTATTCATGATTCCCTGCACCTGTAATCTGTAAACGTGTTTCTTTCTTGGTTAAACTATTAAGTGAGCGATTAAAAAACTATATTCAATTTAACCTTGGGATCGTCATATTCAATTCAACCTTGGGATCGTCTTCAATTCAACCTTGGGATCGTCTTCAATTTAACCTTGGGATCGTCTTCAATTTAACCTTGGAATCGTCATATTCAAGTCAACCTTGGGTTCGTCTTTAATTTAAGCTTGGGATCGTCTTCAATTTAACCTTGGAATCGTCATATTTGATTCAACCTTGGGATCGTCATATTTAATTCAACCTTTGGATCGTCATATTTCAATTAAATCTTGGGATCGTCATAATCAATTCAACCTTGGGATCGTCATATTCAATTCAACCTTGGAATCGTTAAATTTCAATCTCTACAATCTCATTCTTTGTGGGTACTCCTGTTTTTCAATAAATTAATTTCGAATTTTGACATTTCTAAACTTTAGGATGGAATGAAGTCATCTTTACCACAAAAACGAATTCTAGTCCATATATCTTACCAACTTTATGATGTTTGATATTTCAAACTTAGATTATTTTAACTAACATAGTTCATAGTTTAAAATATCTAAGGGTTGCAAAGATATTGGAGATTATAAAATTAGAAGTTGTGCCAAAGACGATCAAATCCTTTTTGATGAAATCCCAAACTTTCGTTTGCATTTTATTTGTATTAAGAAAAAAATTGGGAAAAGAAAACATTTTTATTAAAGATAGATTAAATTTTACAAACACTTTAGAACATGACAGACACACACACACTAAATCAAACAAACACACATACATTGACCCATTGTACTTACATAGTATAAAAGGAATCTGGAAAAGTGCTGGGAAAGTGAGCCCATTAACAGTTCTGAACAGAATATACTTAAACTCTTCCGGTATTTATCCAACTTCCGGTATTTATCCAACTCGAGATCCGACATTCTTTTCCTGCCGAGCTTTTAAACACTTACAATTATATTTATTTCGGATTTGGGGTTTTTTTCCTAGATTTCTCTTCTCATTTTATTTGCAAAGGAATTGAGTTTTTGCCACAAACTCAAATTTTGTAATTCCAATGTGTTCACAACTTGATGATGTAAACCTTTAATATTTAAACTTAGATTATTTGATCCAACATAATTCATAATTTGAAATATCTTCAAGGGACGGACCGGCTATGTAAGGTGGAATAAAGCTGAGTATGCAGTGTTGTAGACAAATTCTTTAGGATTCATTTGAGACATATAAAACGTTGTATAATTAAAACGATGTATAATTACTGAGTTTAAGCGCAAAGTCGATGTTCAAAATCATGAATTTGAGTGGGTACGTTTTCAGAATCGGTTTTTTAAAATTATTAAATAACGACGACGAAAAATATAGTAAAAATTCTATAGTAAACTAATTTGTCAATAAATCGAAGTTAGAATTATTTCTTTCCTTTTTCATAATTATATTTAATTTCTTATATTCCATGAATTTGTTCGCAGATTTCTTAAAAAATTTCAAATGTCGTCCTTTTAATAAAAATTCCAGAAAATCTGCAGAAAATCTTTGTGATTAACGAGAGATTATAGAAATTAATAATTGAATACGATTACTTTTTTCGATTGTAAGAGTAAATTTTCATTTGCTTAACCTATTCCTAAACAACTAATTTATAGTTTACTGTGAGTTTTGTTTACATTTTTTGTCTTCGTTATTTAATATTTTTTTTAAAAATCTGAAAAATGTATCCACCCAAAAGTACGATTTTGAACGTCGACTTTGCGCTCAAATTCAGGATTTACAGATATTTAAAAAGTTTTATATGTCTCAAAGGAATCCTAAAGAATTTGCCCACAACACTGCATACTAAGTTTAACTGCCTTACATAGCCGGGTCTGTCCTTAAGCTTACGACGCCAGGTTGAAAAGATATAGGGATTAGAAAATCAGAGTGTTTGACAAAGACTCAATTCCTTAATTTTATTTTAAAAGAACTGTCAACTTGATTCTGAGTGATCTTATATTAAAGGAGTAATTTGCTTATTCATCAGTTTTATGAAATAAACAATATGCATGCACATTGTACAAGCTAAAAAAGTAATGTTCAACAAAATTAAATTGAAAATATTTTCGTATTTTTAATTTTTATTTTGAAGTTAGTGTTGAAATCCAAATGTTCTGAAATGTTGGATAATTAATTGATTAATTGATAAATTGATTAATTTATTAGTTGATTACTTGATTAATTAATAAATTAATGAATTGATTACTTGATTACTTGATTAATTAACTAATTGATTAATTAATGAATTATACCTGATTATTGTAAACACCAGATAGTTGGGGGAGAATGCCAGTGCAATGCTTAAAGTTACCTGTAAGTAAATAAATATATTTAATTATTAAAGAATATTTATTTAATCATATAATTTCATGGGTTTTCTTTAGAAATTCTAAAAGTTTTACAAACACATAATATTTTTAATAAATACACATTTACAACAACAAATAAAAAACTTTTGATAATATCTTATAATAAAAAATGGTTTGTTTTCATTTGGGGGTTTTCTGTACCGTGACTAGATAATTTCTGATCCAGAAACTGTCAGAATTGACCCAGTTTTAAACTGGAAAACGAGGATATCTTCCACATCAATGATCAGAAAATAGTTTAAAGGGCCCCGATGTTAATCGTTAATGCCTGTCATTAATTAAAAAGGTCATTTGAGTTTACTCTAACAGTCTCCTTGAATGCATATATTACCTCCATGAAGAGCATGATAAAGAATGATTTCCTCCTTCCGTATTTGTCTGCCACGTGACCAAACATCACGTTTCCTAATATAAAAAAAAATGGCGGATTTTCTAGAGTACATTACTTGTGAGTTGTTCATCCTCATGGGATCAAGTGCTTATCCGTATCTTTTGTTGGGAATTGAATGTTTCCTCTAGAATATCGCTTGGTATCAGAACCCAGGAATAACTATATACATTAAGGGATAAAGAACTTTAAAAGGTGCCACAGCGGATATCTAGATTAAAGGTTGTAGATTAGCGATATATCAAACATAAGTTTTGATCTCTTTAAATATCTTTTAATTGATTATAATTGGAATTGAAAGTAAATCAGTTCTAATTTTAGTGTTTACAAGAAAAAGCTAATTTTAAAATAGTTTAGAATCTTCTTAGGTTTTTTGTAAACAATCAAGATTTTCTAAACCCTATATTTTTACACCTAATTGAGTAAACCTGTGGCTTTTCAAACTTATTTCAAAATGATTTGATCCATCAGAATTTATAGTTATGAATTATCAAGGTCTACAGTATTGGGTTTGGAATGATATAGGGATAAGAAAATCAGAGTTTGTGGCAAAGACTCAGCTTTTATCCTGATGTTTACTGGAGCTCTCTGTACAACCCTTTCACACCGGGAGAGTCCATTATCGGACTCACCGTAAAAAACCGAGCGCTTTCATTTTAAAGTAAGAAAACTTCTAAAAACTTCAAAAAATATGACCTTAAAATATAAAAAAAATGCAATATTTTCTTGCAAATAAAATTTTTTATTTCTTTGTCTAAAAGAAGTGCTATAATAATGTCCAAGATTGGTATTTCCGTATACAAAGGTACAAATGGAGTTCCCGGTTTTAACGCAACACCACATAGCATTTCTTTCTCGGTGCAAAAGGGATAATTCAGGGTGTCCCAATAAACATGGGAATTAAATGATGACTACTATATCATCTTTACTCAAAGCGGGATTATTTCGTAAATATAATTTTGTATGTATGACAGCTAGAACATTCAACACCAACAACCAGTCTTCTCAGGATTTTCAAAATGAGGTCTACCATTTTTACATTCAAATTGACGGAGATATAAGGAAATTCATCCAAATTTTATTTAAATAAAATCCATCTAATCTGTTCAAATGTTTAATATCTCAATATTAAAGATACAAAGAAGGTAGACCACATTTTGAAAATCTCATTAGACGTTCAATCTTTTTTTGATGTACTTTATTTAATTTATCAATTATTGGAAATCAAGGACGATATTCAAGTCGTCACTCAATTTTTATGTTTATTGGGACACCCTGTATCATAGTATTTACCTATAAGGGAACCAACATAGAACAATGATGTCGAGGAAGAGACTTGCCAAGCATTATCACAAACCAGCTCCAGCTAGATAGATAGATAGATAGATAGATAGATAGATAGATAGATAGATAGATAGATAGATAGATAGATGGATAGATAGATAGATAGATAGATAGATAGATAGATAGATAGATAGATAGATGGATAGATAGATAGATAGATAGATAGATGGATAGATAGATAGATAGATAGATAGAAAGATAGATAGATAGATAGATATATTAATAGATAGGTAGATAATTAGATAAATAGATAATTGAACAAGTAGTTTGCATATGCTAGATTTTCTTGTCTATTCACCTAACCTTGTAGTATTTTTCTTCAGTTTTCTTTTTTTTTAGTAGATAAAGTTGGGCTATCATCAATATGCGTAATGCTTTTAAAAATAGATTATTTTTCTAGTTCATATCTATTATTTATATGCCTTTGTAATGACTTTTTTTATAAGAGAAGAAAGTAGAGAAAGTCAGTGAGCTTAGTTCTCTCTCTCTCTCTTGGTCTCTATAGTTTACATTCCCTAGAGAGAATCAATACACACTCAACTCCACAAGTTATATCTACGCAACATGTTAAACATCTAGTTTTATATTCAATATGGAGCAAAAATATCTAGCAGTACTGCTTGTACTAGCTCTGCTTAGTGACCTAGTGGTGTGCAGGAGGGGAGGAGGAGGAGGAGGGAGGAGTGGAGGAGGTGGAGGATTATTTGGTGGAAGGAGATCATCAAGTTCATCTTGGGGTAGTTCAAATAGTAGAAGTTCTTATCCCAAACAGCAGTGGGGATCCAATACAGGATCCAATACAGGATCCAATTATCCCAAACAGCAATATGGGGCTAAAAACACTCAATCCAATGTACCCATTGGCGGTGGAGGTTTTGTAAACCCCAAAGGATCAGGATCTAGCCTTGGAGGTGGTAACTATGGATCACGAGGGTATGGATCAAGTAATTATGGATCAAGCGGGGGAACTGGTGGTGTTCCAAACTATAGTTACAGGAACCCTGGATATGGAACTAACTATGGAACTAGTTTTACATCAGGCCGTGGCATGTATGGAGGTTCAGGGATGTACAGGAAACCCCTGGGACTGGGAGTAGGAGCTGGTTTTCTTGGAGGAGCAGCTATAGGGTTAGCAACAGGGGTTGCTACCATGTCCGTGTACCATAGATATCAAGAATACAAGAGATTGATGTATATGAATCAGTATGGGCATTACAATGATAACTATTATAACAGTTACTATTCTCAAAATAGATGCTATATGGGGTGTTCCATGAACTCCCATTGTGAGTATGGTATTTGCGAATGTAATAATGGCTTCAGGAAGAGCTATGGACAATGCTATCGGGATGATATGTCCCGTCCATCAAGATCTCCCTCCTTCGATCCATTTCAACCTTGCACTGACACGATCAGTTGCCAAACCATGGATATGAATCTGATCTGTAACACAAACCTAACTGTTGGAGCAGAAGGGCGGTGTGAGTGCAGAACTGATCTAAAATGGAACACTGAAACCCTTCAATGTCAGATCTACCTGGATGTTGACTGTAGTTCTATCACATATGAAACCAAACCCTCACCAATCATCCTCAAGGCGGTGAATAAAACCTTGGATAAGTTTGATGAAACAGATGAGATAGTGACTGATGTTCCTGACAATGAAACCATATCTGCTGAAGAGAGTCTAGAGAATAGTCTGCTTAGTAGTATTGATCCCAAAGAAGCATCCAAGGATGAGATCAAGGAAGCTTTCTGCCGAGATATTGATAGTTTCAGTTTCGAGCTGAGTGATGAGTATCAAACTAGTTCAGCACCGACTGATGGAGGAGGGAATGGTTCTATTGGTATACTTACTTTATTTGTAATAATTATTGTTGCATGTTGTGCTCTAACCTTTATTTGTAAAGGGTTGAAAAAAGCAAAAGATAAACTAGGAAACTTGACTAACCCTAACAGAGGGAAGGATATGACTGGAGTTGCAGATATCCAACCCGAGGTTGTTCCTAACCCTGGATATCAACCCCAGCCAACACCCCTCCATGCACTTCCCTATCCAACCCATCCCAACCCACCTGTTGCACCAGCCTATCCCTCCCTGGATACTAGTTTCCATGATCCAGTTCCTATACCTCCTACACAACCTGGATATACAAACTCCTTCCCACCAATTGATGTAAACTCTTATCCTTTAGTTCCAACTCCTGAATATTCTGATCAGCAGCTCCCCTATCCTCCACAGCAACCCTATCCTTCTCAACCTTATCCAGCCCCCGGATATTATTTGTTTCAGTGTTTCTGATAACGGTGTTCTTCTGGAATCTCCGCTATGGCTTTATGTGAAATTTTGAAGAAAAAAAACTTTCTGAATGTACACACTACAAGTACACTCTATGATCACTTCATGAAGCAGAAAGGAATCTCAGTAGCTTAGAGCAACTGTCTTTCAACTTTTAGCAAGTCGCTTTTTCATTTTGCTATACAGTACAATCTGTACACGCTAAAGATAGTTAATTATAAATGTATCTACTTAAATTAAGTATAAATGTTAAAAATGTCCAGATTTTGGAACTATTTTCAAGGATATTTTAAATTATCAATTTAAAAAATGTACAATTCAATATTTTCCATTTCTTTCGTGCAGTACAATACAATCCTCAGCTTTTTACCGTCCAAACCTTAGCTTTCCCATGCTTTCTCCGAATCGGGAAACTTTTGATCGTGCAAGATAAAAAAACTCGGTTTGGAATTTGAAAAATTACTAAGTTTACAAATTATGTACAAACTTTTACAAATTAAATATCATAAACTGACATTAATCTAATCCAAGTTTTTGAGTTTATTTAATTTTATTATGACTTAGAATTTTCTCGTTGTAAGTTTTAATACAAAGTATAAATTATATTGTTTTTTAACGTAAATGTTTACTTTAGTGTAAAATCAATTTACTTATTTATTATGTAAGTCTGATGTGATTTTTCTAAAGAACTAAGTTATTGTTACAAACTCTTATTTTTTAACCCCTATATCGTTGCTACCCAATTTCGTAAACCTTTGATATTTCAACATAAGAATAAGATCAACTGATTTCAGTTTAAAATAAGGAAGTAAGTAACCATTTTTTTAATGTAACAAAAAATACTAAATTAAGTGTTTAACGGGAAAATTTTTAAAAATCTCAAAAAAATGAATGTGGAAGTTTTTCCCTCCAATCCAAGAAAAATATCAAATGTTTACACTATCAGTTCGCAAAGATATACTGATTGGACAATTTAATTGTGTGTGACAAAAACTCAATTCCTTTCCCAGACATAGATTTTATACTTGATGTATTTTTCACATTTATTTCAATTATATAACCTTATCACATACAGGGTATCTCTGTAAACTTCTAGACTTATGTATTTAAATATTAGTTTAAAGGGAAAGTAAGATGATTTGGGGTTAATGGCATAAATTATTCAATAACTCATATCGGTGCAATTTCTATTTCTATCTGGGGATCTAAGCTGGCAACTCTTGTATTGTGTATATAGAGATTAATGCGATTAATTTTATCCCGCATTTATCCTGAAAATAAAAGTGCCCGCAGTGGATCAAGCAATCAGGATTAAGAGTTGCAAGCTCTGGTTAGAATTTGAAAGTTTGCGCCCTGTACAGACACCCTTATGCAAAAGTTTTTTTGCAGGTCTGTGGCATTTGGAAAATTATCATTTCATGGAATTCTTTCCCTTTATTTTAATATTTCTAAAACTTAAATCAATAAGATATCATATCTATAAATTTTTCGCTAATAAATAATTGTAAACATACCACTTTATATGCACTGAGTGTAAACCCTAATTTAAATATATTTTATTAAATGTTTATTTTTCTGAAGAAATGTAGTTTTTTCTAATGCAATTAATCATGTTTATAAGCTTAGTTTCAGCTATTTTAACACATTTGGTTGAAATAGTTCAGAGTCAAGTCAAGATTAAAGAGAAGTGGAAAGCAATCCATCGATATATTTTTTTAGAGGGAAATAAACAGCGGTAGCGGTTGAACGAGCGGTTGCAGTTTAGAATAAAAAATGAAAATTTTTTTTTTTTTATATAACTTTCATGTCTTTGATCGATTGAAGCACAACTATTTGTTTTAAAAGAGCTTTTTTACCTTCAACCGTTGGAAATGCAAGTTTTATATAATTTACTTTTTTACCTTCCTCCACCGTAAAAATTACATATTTTTTATAAAACTTTTTTTTTGTCTTCAACTATAAGTACTACAAACACACATTTTCATAGCAAACAAATATACGCAAAAACAAATATACGCAAAAACGTGAAATCCAGTGGTTGAGGGCGACGCATATTTAACTCAAGAATATGATTTCAGAGGTTAAATTATCTTTTTCTCCAAAGTATTTATCATTGAAAACAATATTAAACTCAATTTTGAAGAATTTTTTTTTACATTGTATTTCCCAAATATTTTGGTCTAAAATTGAAACCCATGCGATATGTGAACTATCTGACTGGGCGTCGTTCCCGGGAAACGATCGTTCTATCATGAGAAACGAACACGGAACGGAACGGAAATTGGTTGAAAAAACGTTAAAACCAGGAACGCGTTCTAAGTCGGAACACATTATAAATCAGGAACGTACTGGGGCGTTCGAGAGGGGGGAGGGGCTTCGTTAATATTACATCTGTAGATTTGTTGAAAAAAACCTCGCATTCATGATTTTGGCGGGAGTACTTTTAAAGCTTTTCATTATCTTTCTTTAAAAATCATTTTGTAGGTTTGTTTTCATTTCTTCAAAGTTTACAAACCTACAAAGCAGTTTAATTAATATAGGATCAATGGAGAGCTTTGACAACAATATACCCTTCTGTCTGATCAAGTATTGCATTAAACATCCATGTTTCCTATTTTGAAAATGGATTCAGATACGATGGAAAAATGAAGGTTTAAAAGGTGCATCGGACATGCCATGATGCCACTCTATAAATGGAAGGTCACTGGAAACTACGCATGTATTCCATTTAAGAATACATCATATAAGAAAATACTTTAAATCTCACTTTTACCATCAAACTGAAAAGTGTTCATTAAAAAATGCTTCATCAATACTGCCATCAGCGTAAATATGGATTTGATAACATTATTTATGTAATAAAAATATAGATATTCGTTAAGAAACATAAGTCACCAATGTATTCTTATACTCGGAGCTATCAAATATCCAACCCAACCTCGTGTTTACCTGAGTAACCAGTGTATTTTTATACTCAGAGCTATCAAATATCCAACCAAACCTGCACGAAGAGTTTTTAATCGTTTTGAGCTGACCACTTTTGAATGGTGGATATCGAAATCAATGCGTGATCTCATCTTTTTCTTAATCTCCAGAATAAATAAAGGTTGTTCTCCTCTTGTTTTTAATCTCCAGATTAATAAACTGATTGGGATTAAGGATATCACATTCTAAAGTTGTCAGAGTTGAGCTGAAAACTAAAGAATGTGATATCCTTTATCCGAAATGTTAATTAATCTGTAGATTAAATTCATGAGGAGAACAAGCAATATTTAATCTGGAGATTAAGAAAAAGAGTGGATCAAGCATTAATCCCGATATCCACCATTCTAAAGTTTCCAGCTCTGAAAACTTTAGAATGTGATATCCTAGCGAAGCGCCCTAAAAGCCTCGTTTAAAAAAACTTTGACCTTGCATGAAAATAATTGAAAAAACGAAAAATAATTTAGAAAAAAATTTAACAAAAGTTTCAAGATTTCAAAACTGTATTATAAATGATAAAATTTGCTTACATTAAACTTTGCAATATCTTCATCATAAAAAAAATAAAAAATGAAATGCATCCTTTATGAATCGTTTTTCAGTAGTTTTTTGCATATGTCTTCTTCCAGGGTCAAAATTTGAAATACTTGAAAAATGACAACTTTTAGAATAAAAAATTTAGAAAACATTTTCTTTTCTTACATTATGCAAAATTTAGGCCAAAAACGAGGGAAAAACGAAGCAACTATAATTACTCAACCTGCAGGGAACTATCTCCCAGTCTTCCCGAGGATACTCAGGCCAACTTCCATTATGCTCCTAAATATATTATATTTTTTATGTTTTTCTAAATAATCTTTATTTAAACAGAGCCAGCATTGATTCAAAATGGTATTATTTACTCTTTTTTTATAGCTGATGATGGAGATTATTTTATCCCCATCCACGGATTTTCTGGAATGAGAATTGTTGATTTCAAATACCAATGACAAGAAGATTTCTAAACGAAATCTTTGTCATCCTTTGTATATTTTAATATTTGTAAATCGTTATTATTAAAGGAATACATTAATAAAAATCTAGTATCTTGAAATTCTGGGATTTTAAAGAAACTTTCGACGTTATTTCAAGTGTTCCTTTGTTTGAAGCGTACATTTTATAAGTTTCCCTTGAGGCCTTTGTCTCAGCAAAGATATTCTTGTTTTTTTCCATAAAAATGATAATTTTCAAATGCGGTTTCTCTGTAAAGTTATATAAAAAAAATTGAAAAAGGGTGATATCTTTCTTGTTATTGTAAAGGGTAAGTTGTGAATCTGACGTATTCACTTTTTAAATGGAGTTCGTTTGAAATTTCTTTAACAGTTCCTTAAAGGAATGTAATCGCACTCTACGTATTTGACATATTTTTAATAACAAAATGGAAATCAAACCTTTTATTGTATTTATGGATTTTAATTTTGGTTTTAATAATTATCTTTGTGGAGGGAACTCATAAAAACATTTTTAATTGGACCAAACTTTTACAATTTAGATTGGTTTTCTATTTTACGGAGAAATAAAAAGAAAAACATCGAAAATGATTATAAATCAAATGGAAAATGATAAATAATTGCTTCAAACTTAACTTTACGATGTTTTAGTATGGTTTTACAACAAGATTTAGAGCTGCCAACATAAATTGTTTCAGAATATTTTTTATTTTGGGTCGAAGTTATGAACGATTTCGTTAAGAATTAGATAATTTTGGGTTTGAATAATAAATTTAAATTCAAACAAAATACATAAATATCTCTTAACATAGTTTTGAAAAGCAAAAAATGGCAGGTCTAAGGTTATTTTGTGACAAGGTATTCATGAAAACTAATTACGCAAAATATTTTAATTGTCAAATACAGTTTTAAAGCCCATTTCTCAATTTTAAAGAAATTCTACGTAATTGAGAATGATAATGGTATCCACTTTTCAATCCCTGTATACTAAATCGAATTGTAAACTGCATTGCTACTGTGTCCCTAACGATAGAATATGGATAGAATAGAATATATTCTAAACTAGAATTTTATTTTAATTTAAACATTAAAATGAACTGTACTAGCTTACATTAAGTATAAATGCATAATATAAAGCCCTGGATTCGACTGCCTAATTTTAGTGCACTGTGCATTCTACAGGGTTTCAAGAATTTAATGCATAAAATTAGAATTAGTCCAACCCCCTGGATAAGGTGGACAAAAGGGACTGTAAATATAATTTCAAGTGTCCATCGAATTCTGGAGTGGCATTTTCGATTTAAAATGCAGGGAACGTTCCTTTGTCATGAAAAAACTTGATATACTTTTCTTAAATCTTTAAACGAAGAAAGTAAGAATTGAATGAAATCGACTTTTCATAATACATAAAAATACGAATCAAATTTTCAAAGTACAGTTTCCGAAAAAAATCTTCTTCGTTCAGAATTGACGGAGATATTTTATTTCAGTTTTAATTGAATATCTTTGTTTTTTGAAACTCCTTGTACAATGAATATTTTACTATTCTGAATTCGCAGTAGTGGTGTTAAAAAGCTTTAGAATGTTACATTATAATTTAATTTGGCAATTACAGCTGCAAATTGTAATTTTATTCTTCAATTTAAAGGGAGTGTACTCTAAAAACAGAACTTGATGAGTCAAAATTCAAAGTCTTTAAAGGGACTGAAAGCAACATTTTAAATCGTCCTCCATGCAAGTTTCGTCTGATCAATATTTTAGTTTTTTTACGTTTTCCTTAAAAGAAGTGATCATTGCGCAAGTTCCTTTTGTAGAGAGAACACAATTAAAATCATCAGTTTTCCAAATTATAAACGATCAGAAAAAAGCTTTAAACGGTACCGTTGTAAATCGGATTGACATCTTTGCATGGAGGGTCCTCTGTAAAAACGTATACAGTCACTTTAAAAAGAGAAAAGAAATAAAACAACCACACCATAATTTCAATAGAAGTAAATATTTCCATTTTCTGATAGCGCCGATTGAAGGATTCAGAACTCTGATTGGATAATGAAAGATAGATGTTACCGCTATACTATTTCTATTGGTTCAGAATAGATAACAAACACATGACAATAACCCTGATGGGATCAGGAGCTAATGGACCAGTGTTTCATGGTAAATGTAAAATTCTTAGTGTGCATCGGCTTCAAACTAAAATAATTAGAGATTGCACTTTATGTCCCCTTTTATTTTTCAAATATAGAATTGGTGTACAATGCCTTATTCTACCAAGATAAGGAAATGTTTACATTAAACCTTTATTTTGGTTTTCTAAAAGTGTTATCACTTTTAAATTCTTTTTTTGCTATTTGGATTTTGAATAAGTTATAAATATAGTCGTGATAAATTAATTTAAACTATGGATGGGCAGTATTTTAGAAAGCGATTTAGAAAACTTTCGTTTTGAGTTTTGAAAATTCATGTTCTAGACCGTTTTGTTTAAAAACGAAACAATTATGAAACACAAAGTATTCCTGAAAGAATTTAAAGAAAAGTTAGTTAATTAATGTATGTTTTAACACAATTTTTAAATGACCGTCACAAATCGGTTTTAATTATAATAAAGATTACAAAAATATAAAAAAAGAGTTTTGAAAATCCGGAGATAAAACTTACCTCATAAACTTGGGTCCAGTTCTCCACATCATACATCAAGCAGGAATCAAAACCAAGGTTTTTCCCGTCCTGCTCCTTCATTGGAGACCCTAGTCTCAACCTAGATATTAGTCTTCATTGGAGACCCTAGTCTCAACCTAGATATTATCCTTCATTAGATACCCTGGTCTCAACCTAGATATTATCCTGCATTGGAGACCCTAGTCTCAACCTAGATATTATCTTTCATTGGAGACTCTAGTCTCAACCTAGATATTTTCCATCATTGGAGACCCTAGTCTCAACCTAGATATTAGTCTTCATTGGAGACCGTAGTCTCAACCTAGATATTTTCCATCTTTGGAGACCCTAGTCTCAACCTAGATATTTTCCATCATTGGAGACCCTTGTCTCAACCTAGATATTATCCTTCATTGGAGACCTTAGTCTTCATTGGAGACCCTAGTCTCAACCTAGATATTAGTCTTCATTGGAGACCCTAGTCTCAACCTAGATATTATCCTTCATTGGAGACCCTAGTCTCAACCTAGATATTATCCTTCATTGGAGACCCTATGTACTGATCTATGTATGTATCTACCTATGTGATATATTAAGATGGGGAGCTACTTTATCTCTGTACTAATCTATGTATGTAGCTACCTATGTGATATATTAAGATGATGAGCAACTTTATCTCTGTACTAATCTATGTATGTAGCTACCTATGTGATATATTAGGATGAGGAGCTACTTTATCTCTGTACTAATCTGTGTATGTAACTACCTATGTGATATATTAAAATGAGGAGCTACTTTATCTCTGTACTCAATTTATGTATGTAGCTACCTATGTGATATATTAAGATGAGGAGCTACTTTATCAAGTTCTGGATGTGCACACCAATGAGAGGGCTCGGCAGACAGGAAAACCTAAATAAGAAAAAAATGATATAATTTAGCAATCAATAATACAATAATACAATAATACAATAATACAATAATACAATAATACAATAATACAATAATACAATAATACAATATTACAATAATACAATAATACAATAATACAATAATACAATCATACAATAATACAATAATACAATAAGACATTAATACAATAATACAATGATACAATAATACAATAATACAATAATACAATAATACAATAATACAATAATGCAATAATACAATAATACAATATATAATAATATAATAATACAATAATACATGCAGAACATTATACCTGACTGAGCAAGGAATGCAGCAGGAAGGGATGCAGAACATTATACCTTACTAAAAAAAGAATGTAGCAGGAAGGCGTTCAAAACAGTATACCTGACTAAAAAAGGAATGCAACAGGAAGGCATGCAAAACATTATACCTGACTGAGAAGGAATGCAACAGAAAGGCATGGAGAACAATATACCAGCCTGAAAATGAATGCAACAGAAAGGCATGCAGAACAATATACCTTACTGAGAAGGAATGCAGCAGGAAGACATTCAAAACAGTTTACCTGACTGAGAAGGAATGCAGCAGAAAGGCATGCAGAACAATAAAAGAACTAAAAACTAAGAATCCTTCAGAAAGGGATGCACAGAAATTTACCTGACTGAAGGCTAAGAATGCTGCGGGAAGGCATGCTGGTATGCAGAGCATGATGAAAAGACTGATTTGATACAAACCAATTTCACCCACATGGGTTAAAACCTAAATGAATAATATAGGAAAAATGTAAAATATTTAAAAATATATAATTTTGAGAAAAAAAACACGAAGATTTTACTCATGGTTTTCAATACAATTTTCAAATTTGATATCTGTACCTCAAATAACTACAGTGGTAGGTAGGGCTGGGCACGTTCTAAGTGTTTCTTGCCGCTTCGTTATTGGTTAGTTCCAACCATCAAAAAATAAGAACAGAACGTTGTTCCATTTTTATTTTAATTACCGTTAGTTACCGATCTCAATTTTTTTTTAACGGCGTTATCGGAAAATTTTTAGCAATCGTTACGGCTCTAGCCGTTAATGGCGTTTAATTTTTTAATTTTTTGAAAAATGTCATGCAATTTTTATCAGAAAATAAGGAAATTTACCGTTTTTAGCTTTTTAGTTAACGTTTTTAACCGGTATTTTTTTTTCAAAAACGACTAATTTGTTTCGTTCACGATTTTAAAATTGACGGGTTTTTTTCCGTTTGTTAACGGAATTTCCGTTAAATTTCGAAAACCTCCGTTTTGTTAACGGAACTATGCCCAGCCCAAGGTAGGAAGGAATCCCCCCCAACCCTCCTCCCCCATACTAGTTTTATCAAGTAACAATAACGATTTGAAAATTTAAAATGTCCAGCAGTCAAATTATCGGAACAGCAACATAAAACAGGGGGGGGTTGTTGATGAATTTTTTATGTATATATCTGTTCGCTATAGCTGACCAAACGGCTGGACCAAGTTGGCTGACATTTTTTTAAGAAACCCAATATAACTCCGGGGGTGACTAAGGCTAAAAAAATTTAAAAAGTGCGTGCAATGTATATGTTCATATCCCATAATTTAACTGGCTTGGGAACCTAACGTTGCCCAAGGTACTAATAGTTACTCCCGCCGTTTACCAACACTTGGTCGATTTTACATAATTGTTGCGATTAATGTCGATCCACTCAACTTGGACTCTCAAAAAGCTAAGAACATTCCCGTGGTTCTCCCGAGATACCAGTCAAAATTTGAGGCAAATAGGTCAAGAGGTTCATTAGTTATGATCGGACATACAAACATCCTAACACACATACAGAGATTACAAGGCTATATATATAAATACCACTACCAGTTGATGATGCGCAAAAAAAAAACATTTTAAAATGTAGTTAAACGACATTTTTACAAACCTCATCAAAATCTAACGTGCTCATCTTCTGTAGTTTGGTAAACTTTTAGATTACCAGTGTTCACTTAACAGGGTTCAGTGATCAATTTTAATTTTAGTTGTCACTTTTTAGAGTTCAATACTCAATTTTCAGAGTTTAGTGGTCATTTTTAAGAGTTCAGTTGGCATTTTTCAAAGATCTGTGGTTGCTTTTCAGTGTTTGGAAGTCACTTTTAAAAACGGTCGCTTATCAGAGTTCAGTAGTCACTGATTTTTGACTTGAGTGGTCAATGCCATAGAACTGCTGTCATCTCAGCAAATTCAGCGATCACCATTATATGATCTCCATTATAGGATCGCATGTTTTTTCTGCATTTGACCATTTTTTAGTTGAAATCTTAAACAAAATTATATTTTACATTTATTTGAATATTAAACTAAATACTGAATAAATGTTTTAAATCATTAAACGAAACTTGTGACTTGAGCTCCCTGACATATGAATCTATAAAGTAAAAATTAAAATTTATTTAGTAAGGAACAATTCAAGGGCGTACACACTACACAGAAATAAATCTAGGGGGGGTAGCAAATATGCACGAAGCACAAAAAAATGTTTGCCCCCCTAGGAGCTCCTAGGGGGGGGGGGCAACATTTGAACTGTAAATTCAAAACATTTGGCTTCTTGGATACTTTAAAGGTAAACATACAGTCTAATTAATTTGCAAGTACTCCTTTATCTTTCCTTCAAGCAAAACTAGTAGAAAGAAAACAGCAAACAAATTTGTTTATGCTCTTCACTCTTCAGTTTCAGATTTGTTATAGCTCCCCTTTACAGGTCTAAGGGGAGGCACTGCCACACTTCCCGGCCCCCTTGGGTACGCCCTTGGGGAACATGGTTTTGATTTGCTTGAGAGATTATGGAGTAAAAATGACCATGAATTGTTTTATGCCTAATGTGCTTTCATAAGAGGTTCTCCTTTAAAGAACAGAATAAAATATTTACAACCATTATGACGTGACTTAAAAAAAGGTGTGGTCGGACGAAAAAACAGTAAATTTTGACGTTCTTTGTGGTCGGACGAAAAAATGGTATGGTTTGTCTTCCCTCCGTCTTTGTACAGTATACTTACGGGACAGTGACTGAATGGGTCCCTTCTAAGGACATTAATATGAGACGGTTCATTGCCATATAGACCTTTGATATTCTAAATTTAATTTACTAGCATAATTTTGACAGTGACTGAAATATCAAAGTTCTTTGACATTGGGTTATTCAAAAATGGCAATGAAAGATCCACAACGGTACCCTAAAATACGTTGTCTGATCAAGTATTAATTCGACATCCTTGTCTTTCTGCAGGAAAACAAAATATTAATATTCAGAAAATTAACCACTTTAAACACTTTTGCATGGAGGGTTACTTGATATTACGGTTGCAATCCCTTTAATATTTCAGTCACTAAACTTTTAGCCCTCCGTCAGTGTAAATTCAAGTAAAGTATAATAGTTAAATTATAAATAAGCCTTAACTTCAAAATGATATTTGCTGAAATGACATATTTATTTGAAATTTATGGAGTCAACTTGTTTTTATAGCAGTCCAATCTTATTTATTGCAGATTTATATTTGCGAACTTAAGTATTACAAGCGCGTCAAGAAAATTACTGCTTATGAAATCAAGCTTAAATTAAAAAGCTGATAATTAAGTATATAAAGAATAACTATTTTAGAGAAATACAGGGTGAGTCAAAAAAAGTGTGATTTGCGGCGCCTGGTGCAAAATTTTACCTTGTCCAAAAAAATCAGCGAACCTTTTTTTCTCTCAAAATCAAAAGTTCAGGAATACAAAAATGTGTAAATAAATTACCACTATCGAAATCTAAAATTTAAAAAAGATTGAATCACAGAATCGCAGAAAATTGGCAAAATTGTAATAAGAAAATTCTCAATTTTCAGTTCTGGTCAAATTTTTACGGAAAAATTGTTTTTTAATGGTTCTTAAGGTTTTCACTGAACAGCGTATATATATTTAATACTTTAGAATATACTAAGAAGAAAGGAACTAGATATTAGCTAAACAAGTCAGTTTCTCTTTGTCTTTGACTTTTAATCCAAAGGCCTTGAAGGGAGTGACCGGCTATGTAAGGTAGTTGAACTGAGTATGCAGTGTTGTGGAAAACTGCTTTCGGATTCATTTGAGACATATTACACTTTTTACATTTTATGTCGTCGTTATTTAATGATTTTAAAAAACTAATTCTGAAAACGTATCCACCTCCAAATATGGAGTTTTGAACGTCGAATTTGCGCTCAAACTCAGGATGTACAGATCTATAAAAAAGTGTAATATGTCTCAAATGAATCCGAAAGAAGTTTTCCACAACACTGCATACTCAGTTCAACTACTTTACATAGCCGGTCACTCCCTTTGAGTCAACCGTCTGAAAGCATTAAAACTACGTATACTTTCAAAAAATGTAAATAATCTGAGATGAAATTTTTTGATTATTTATCGTATATTGTGTATTTTTGTATATTTGGTAGACGTATAATTGTGATGCGGGCTACTTGCTATAACATCTAAGTATAATACTCCTAATATATTTAATGCTTGGATTACGGATCAGTTCCATTTGTTAACATTAGTAAAGCATATGATTGGATCCCGGCCAGGGGGGGGGGGGTTAAATAGAATCTAAAATAGGGGGAGGTGTATCCCCTCTTTCTGGCCTAATATATTCCAGAAATGTAAGTAATCATTTCCAGAATGAAAAAGCAAAGTACTGAAAGAGGATAATTGAATATGGAAAGAAATTGAGTCTTTGTAGCAAACTCTGATCTTCTAATCCTTGAAGTATAAGGAAGAAAAGGATGAGAAGGATGGGAAGGATAAGAAGGATGAGAAGGATGAGAAACACGAGAAGGATGAGAAGAATGAGAAGGATGAGAAGGATTAGAAGGATGAGAAGGATGAGAATGATAAGAAGGATGAGACTGATGAGAAGGATAACAAGGATGAGAAGGATGAGAAGGATAACAAGGATGAGAATGATTAGAAGGATGAGAAAGATGATAAGGATGAGAAGGATGAGAAGGATGAGAAGGATGAAAAGCATGAGAAAAATGAGAAAGATGAGAAGGATGAGAAGGATAAAACGGATGAGAAGGTTTAGAAGGTTGAGAAGGATGAAAAGGATGAGAAAGATGAGAAGGATGAGAAGGATGAGAAGGATGAGAAGGATGAGAAGGATGAGAAGTATGAGAAGGATGAGAAGGATTAGAAGGATGAGAAGGATGACAAGGATGAGAAGGATGACAAGGATGAGAAGGATGAGAAAGATGAGAAGGATTAGTAGGATGAGAAGGAAGAGAATGATGAGAAGGATGAGAAGGATGAGAAGGAAGAGAATGATGAGAAGGGATGAGAAGGATGAGAAGGATGAGAAGGATGAGAAGGATGAGAAGAAAGAAAAGGATGAGAAATGAGAAGAATGAGAAGGATGCGAAGAAAGAAAAGGATGAGAAGGATGAGAAGGATGAGAAGGATGAGAAGAACGAGAAGGATAAGAAGGATAAGAAGACTGTGTATAATGTATAAGAAGGAAGAACTGAACCCTACTACTGTTGATTCTCTAAATTGGAATATCCGGCCTGCTGGAGAACTGAGATGCCGGGAACCCGGTCCCGGGTTCAGGTTCAGGTTCCAGACACCCGGAGAAATATCTCTCTTTCACGGTATATTAGACTTTGGGCGGTTCTACTAGTTCATTACAAGCCCGAACGGATTTTACGAATATTTTGTAAAAAAAATCAGTTCGAAATGAAAAAAAATTAGCCGATATCACAGTAAACTAAAGGTCCTGGCTAAAAGTCCAGTGACTCTTAACATTAGAACACAGTGTGACAGTACTCCAATATCGATAATTTTTTCCCAGGCTCTAACCTAACTAATCCATTGCATACATTTTCGATTTTTTATTTAAAAATCTTCTGCGGTAGGAATCTTATCTACGGGGTTACCCACAAAGAATGAGACTTCAGAGACGATTGTACGCAATTTGTTTAGTCAGTTTTCTTGCATTCCTTGTGGGCCAAAACTGGCTTCTTTTTGAGCGTAATCATTTAATCATTTAGTACACCATCAAAATACTCAGTTGAATGCAGAAACCAAAAATCATGCTTTAAATTGTCAAAAATAATTATATCCTTGACAATTTTTCTGATAAAACAAATTCAAGACGCCAACTTGGAATATGGCTAAAAACATATTTAATATTCATGAACATATTTTCAAAATGTAGTCCAACATATTTTCAAAATTTCCAACGTTTAAAACTTTAGACCATACATTACTATATATTTTCTATTCAATGTCAAAGTATAATAAATAATAAACAATTTTATTAAACTGGATGTCCCGAGGGAGGGAAGGGATCCTTCCCCTGCACATATTCCGAATCTCATTTTACCCATATTTGCGGCAGTGCACTTCCCCATATGGCTTCCGAACCTCTCCCAAACCGTCTTCCGGGAATGATCTTCAATTTATTAACGTCAATTTCTACTTAAAACGGGACTAATTTGATTATTTATGCACGGTAGTCCATCTATAGTATCATGAACATTTCCATCATATTTGTTTTCTTTTTTACAATCAAAGATCGGAGAGAATATAGATTTTATTTATAGATTCTTTTCTCAACAAAACTTGGAATGGCTGGGCCTTTTTTATGAATAGATTTTACTAACAAAACTAGTTTATAATTTAATCATTTTACAAGCACTACAGATTTAAAATACATAAACAGCGAGAGATAATTGAATTTTTTTTTAATCTGAGGATTGTATTGACAGGAATTTATTAGTGATCTGCCAAGCAGATCGCAAAAAAAGTTTTACTGTTCAGAAACTCTGCAAACATAGTTACTTTGTTTTGATGTTTGGGAGGCATTACACATAACCTACTTCTGATTTCTAAGCAAAATTAGTTTTTAAAAACTAGATATCCGAAAATAAGTCTAATACAAATATAGATTTTAATGAAACAAATTTAAAATTAAGATAACTAGTGAGTATGGTCAGTAATTAGGATGTTCATTATATTTTCATTATTCTGAAGAGACTCCTAGTGGTGAAAACCCGAATCATGAGCTTATCATTATTATACAGGATCGAGTGTCATGCAACAAAATTTTTCAACATTTTACTAAACAAACTTTTCTTGAAAATAAAAGTTGTAATTTTAATTACTAAAATATTATAAAATTTTCAAAATAAATATAACTTTGCATATTTATTGCATGCGTTCCTACATATATGTTTATTGAAACATCAATCAGTTAGGCAGCCAGACATTGCAACATTATATCTAGAGAGGTAGAGAAGCAGTAGACAGGCAAACATGTCGCAATATAAAAATTGACTCTGAATTTTTATTTTTT